GCTCCGTCTTTCCATCTCTCCTCTAGCCATGCATCTTCGGCTACCTGGGTCATCTGAAGCTCGCCTGCGCGTTTTTGGCCATTCTCTCGCCTTTCCATCTGGTTAGGTCTACGTTCCATGGTGAGCTTCGCTGCTTGCCATTCCTTGTTGCCTGTTTCTTGCGCGTGTTGTAACGCTCTGCAGATGCATTGGATCGTTTCTCGCATGTGCACTTGTTCTAGACCCCCTCCCCAGAGCCCATCCAGCAGCAGGTGCCTTGTTCTCACGAGCCATTGTTGGTGTGGCGGGACGCCTTGTTGCCTACCTATGTTGAAGATATCGTGTTGTTGCGTCTGCTTTCGTGTCTTTGCGATCAGTAGCAGATGCAGTAGTACAAAAATTCCGCAGTTGTAGCCGTCCGTTTGTTGCAGTCCCGTTGACACACATGCCCTCCATGCCTTGTCGTCTTGTTCTTGTTGGTCGCTAATTGCCTCGGTGATGATCGTCGCCACGAGTGATGCTAGGTCCATTCGCTGTGCGCCCCCCAATTGAAACTGTGCATCCCTTTGACTTCTGACTGTCCCCAGGTCTCTCTCCCCGGCCGTGTTGAGCGAGTCGACGATGTGTATTCTTTTTGTGTTGACATCTGCCACGATTAGGATCCAATGATTGCCGTTTTCTACGCATGGGAATAATAATGGTTGATCTGCTCCGGCTAACAGTCGCTTTGCTCTCCTTGCCCTTCCCTCCTGATCTCTCAAACCCGCTACTATTCTCGGGAGAACAATGGTCCCTCTCTGCAGCCCAAATTGGTTTCTAGTTTGCTCGCTGGCATACCTCGTGCCTTGGAGCCATGCTATTTGAAATCTGTCTTCCGCTGGTTCTAAATTTCGGTTTACCTCAACGATTAATGCCTCCATAACGTCCTCAGAGAGAAATCCATCTTCTCCTGAGTTGAGCAGCGCCGCTGCTCCGTACTCTCTATTGTTTTCCCGTAGACTCCAGGGGATCTCCCCTATCAAGTCGAATGTTTGTATTTTTCTGTTTTTTGGATTTTCTTTGTCATTCTTTTTCTCACCTTCTTGTCTCTTTCTGCTTGATTCCACCACGCCCTGGTGCCCACTGTCCCACCTGCCCTCAACTCCTCCTCCTCCTCCTGCTTCCATTAGGCTTGCGCTGCTGGGAAGGAGTCAAGCGACATCTCTTCCGATTCTGCCGCCATGCTCCCAGCCGCGGGTACATCTTCCATTCGAGCGTCTTTCATCTGTAGCTCACTGCTCAAAACAAATTTCAATTCGTTTCTATCTCCCAGCATTCCTACGAGGGAGAGCGCCGTTGCCTCCAGGAATTTATTCAAAGCAATGAAGAGGAGATCAGTTTTCAATGGCTTCTCTTCATTTGGTGCGAAAGCGCTGTTCTTGCGCTTAGCTACCTTCCACTTGCGCTTAGCTACCTTCCACTGCGCTTAGAACCCTAAACCCTAAACCCTAAACCCTAAACCCTAAACCCTAAACCCTAAACCCTAAACCCTAAACCCTAAACCCTAAACCCTAAACCCTAAACCCTAAACCCTAGTAGTAGTAGTAGTCGATTTTATTAGAATGCTAGAATAGTCGCATCGGGTACCTTCCCGGTCTAGTCTAGTCTAAATGGGTTCTCACGCTTGGCAGAGCGGCCCTTCTTGGATGGCCCGTTGTGGCATCCAGAGTTCTATCGCTGTTCCGCTGTTTCTGTTGTTTCCATAGTCCTCCGTTCCGAGCCGCCGGTGCCGTATCTCCTCCGGGCCCGGGTTGACGGTTTCAGTGTAACCGTCCACCTTTCTATTTTTTGCGCTAAGGCCATGTCCCTTCCCTGCCTGCCGCTTGTGAAGCTTCCCCATCGGTCTGTCCTCGTTGCCCTTTCCCCTGTCGTCATCCATCTGTCTCCTGTGTCCTAGCCCCTTCCTTGCCATGTTGGTTGTTTTTTCGCCTGTGAGGCTTCCCCTTCGGTCTGTCCTCGTTGACCGTTGCCCTTTCGTCTTCCATCTGTCTTCTGTGTCCTTGCCCCTTCCCTGCCATGCTGATCCTGGTTGCTTGCTTTTTGAGGCTTCCCTTTTGATCCTTCCTCGTTGATCTTTACCCAGTCATCTTCCAACCATCTTATATCCTTCATGCTTGTTCTCTGTTAGTCGTGTCTCCTCAGGCACGACGTGAGCTTCTACAAGAAGCGATGACTGGATCTCATACCAGATGGGCTCTGCTACTTCAGAGGGAGCAATCGCATTGTGCTGGTGGAGATAGCGAGAACTTCAGAGCTCACGGGCGAGGGAAGCAGTCTGGCAAACCTGAAAGCAAAGTTTCAGGAGAAAGAACAGAAATATGCAGCACTGCGGGCAGAGATGACAAGCAGGAGCGACAACACAGAGGTCATACAAGCCACGTTCATTGCAGGAGTGAGAGGCAGTATTATGGAGCGGGAATGGACCACAAATTTCCGGAACTTGCTCATGGACGAGGATATGATTGACAGAGCCATGACCAAGATAGTCATCCAGCTGCTCGAAGTGCAACACATGCTGTGGACCTCAAGGAGACGCTGCCTGAAATAACCGGCGCTGCCTGAAATAACCGGCGCTGCCTGAAATAACCGGCGCTGCCTGAAATAACCGGCGCTGCCTGAAATAACCGGCGCTGCCTGAAATAACCGGCGCTGCCTGAAATAACCGGCGCTGCCTGAAATAACCGGCGCTGCCTGAAATAACCGGCGCTGCCTGAAATAACCGGCGCTGCCTGAAATAACCGGCGCTGCCTGAAATAACCGGCGCTGCCTGAAATAACCGGCGCTGCCTGAAATAACCGGCGCTGCCTGAAATAACCGGCGCTGCCTGAAATAACCGGCGCTCCTAAACCCTAAACCCTAAACCCTCCGCCTCTTGTCCACCTCTAAGACTTGACTCGAGCTTCAAGCAAGCGAGAGGCCTGCACCGGCCTCCTCCTCCACGCCCTCGCCCTCCTCAGCCTCCATGTCGACTTCCTCCCTCATCATCAGCCGCAGTCGGTCTTGCTTGTCGACCTTGCCCGTGCAGCTCAACCCATGGTGCTCAGCAAATTTACTGATCGCAAGAAACAAGAGGCTTACAGATCGACTCTCGATGTCATCGCTCTCAGCCTCCTGCTCGAGCGCATCAGTCGCTGCTGCCCTTGGAGAGAAGGCGCTGCCCCTCCTCGCTGCCTTGTCCCCTTGCACCCGTGTCCTGGCAGCGCTGCTCGCCGAGGTACGCTCTGAGCTTTTCTTTCAACATGTTTCGCTTCGTTCCCAGCGTCGGCGTGGCTGCCCAAGCTCCGAGCGTCATGAACTCCACGTTGCCCGGCGAGCAGAAGGTTTCATGCAGCTTGCCAACACTCTTGTCTAGCTCCAGGGAGATCGGCTTGCCAGCTAGCAGCTCCTCCTCTGATGTCTCCAAGAGCATCGTCGAGAGGTCGAGCAAGACCTGTTGATCGACTGGCCCTGACGGTGACGCTGCTTCCATGGTGATCCTGTCGATGTCGCTGAGCTCCAGCCATCCAGCGCCTTGCTGCTGCCCTTGGGGCTCTTGGGCTTGCTCCTCGCTGCTCGGGCTCCTCTCTTCCTCATGCTGAGGGTTGAGCTTGAACCCCACTGCCTCCAGCTTGACTTCCAGGATCCCTTCCAAGTAGAAGGGCATGTCGTCCATCAGGCGTCGAGCCTCTGCCTTGGTCGCCAGGGAGAGAGCTATCGAGCTTCCGTCCCAGCTGAGCGTGTCTCGATCTTCCTCGACCTCGACGCTGACCGGCGTCACGCCTATCCTTCTTGCTAACTCCAACATGGCTCGCTTGACTCTCGTGATCGATGTGTTACCTCCTCCGCACAGCGCTTCCATCTCCTTCCTCGAGAAGCGGCCTGTGCTCATGCTTGACCTCGACTTGATCTGCACTCTGAAGCTGCTGCGCCCCGCATGATCTGTCTCGCGAAGTGCCCTCCTTTGCTTGGCAATCTTTCAGCGACATACGTCTTCGGGCTCGGCCCCTTGCGACCTCTCTGCCCAGGACCCGGCCTGCACGAGCATGCCAGCAAGCGGTTGTACCTCTGCGGCTGCAAGAGATTGCAATCTGCTTTTCCCTGCTCTTACTAAGGCCGGCCCCTAAACCCTAAACCCTAGATGGAGTCGACAAGGCCATCATGCGGAAAGCACCTTACAGACCTGAGATAGCACGAGCAGACGACATCAGTCACCGTCTCCTTCCTTCGGAATGAAGCCTGCAGCCATGGCGCTATGCAGCTCTCCTAACGAAAGTGCTGGAGTTGACGTGTCCTTGTATAGGACTGAGTGGGAAACTCGGACACGAGCAATCTGTTTCCTCTCCTCTTTGGATAGATACCACATGATCAAACAACCGTTTCTGCACAGAAAAATATCCTGTTCAGCACCCTAGCTCGCAAGGATCCCCTCAAACTGCGGGGGGGGACTGCATGCTTTTGAGTCCGGCGGCCTTGCTTTTGAGCTCCGGCGGCCTTGCTTTTGAGCCTCCGGCGGCCTTGCTTTTGAGCCTCCGGCGGCCTTGCTTTTGAGCCTCCGGCGGCCTTGCTTCTGAGTCCGGCGGCCTTGCTTTTGCCAGAGTCCGGCGGCCTTGCTTTTGAGCTCCGGCGGCCTTGTTTTTGAGCCTTTGGCGGCCTTGCTTTTGAGCCTTTGGCGGCCTTGCTTCTGAGTCCGGCGGCCTTGCTTTTGAGCCTCCGGCGGCCTTGCTTTTGAGCCTCCGGCGGCCTTGCTTTTGAGCCTCCGGCGGCCTTGCTTTTGAGTCCGGCGGCCTTGCTTTTGAGTCCGGCGGCCTTGCTTTTGTACAGGTACATGAACGAGTGATCGTGTGAGTCTGCTAAGGGGTAGACACACTCGTACAATGCTTTCATGTTCTCAACCCTGAATCCCTCCTCCTCCGATACAGATTATACAACTTACTAAAGAAAATTCTATGACCACCTTCAACCTAGGTATTACACTCGAAGAAAGGACTCAATTTCCAATAAACGCTGTTCAAGTAAATCTTCAAACGGGCTGACCTGCATGGAAAAGTTGAAAAGGTGCTATGGGCAACAATAATGTCATGAACGCACCAGCTCTCGATCGATTTTGCTCTGATAACGCGGAGGGATATGCGAACGTTGCCTCATGAGGCCCTCAAATTGAGAGATTCTGCATACATGTCACATTATCATTCCCTTTCACACTGTGGCATTGTCTACTTCAATTGATCTGCAAGCCTGTCCTTGCTTATCGTGAGCGGAGCCTTTTGAAGCCTTTCTTCACGGATCTTGTCAACCCTGCAAGTAACTCAAATGCACATGTCAAGGCAGCACATGACACACCCGCTGCTTTCTGACTTTGAAGATGCATTTCCCTGCACACTCGACGTCTTGTGCATGACTGCGGTCTTGGGAAAACGTATTTTCTGCTTTGATAGTGCACCGGGGGACTTCCCGCCACCAATGAGCTCAGGCCATGGCTCTCTTGACATTGCCGCAGAATTCTGTGAACTAAAAAATCCTACAAGTCGAGTTAGAAACTTTGACAAGGTCACTTAATTATCACTATCAATCACTTCCATTGCTGAAAGCTGCTTGTTTGATGTCTCGACCGATTCATGATAAGGCTCAGATACTGCAAGAACAAGTCATCAGCTTCCATTGCCCCGCGAATGCTATGAGTACAACGATCAGGCTGATTGCCTTGTACAGGACTAAACCTTTCTGAATTCATTTCAGGAGGCGAAAATTGAGTATTCGATCGAACTGAAACGAAAATTTCCTACACTTCAAAGTAAGATGACTGTCGAAAGTTACCAAGAGTGAAGGGTATGACCGGCTGTCTGAAGTGATCGACAAATATATGTTTCTCGTTCTCTTCATCCGGTTTCTGGTCAACCTGAGAGTAACTTAACGCTATGACACTTAGAGTTCAATTTCGCTTGCCAGGTTGGATGATAACGCTCCAACGTCTTGCTGGCTGATTTTTTCATTACGCTGTAAGTCAATCTTGTGTTCATTTTCAAATATTCCAAGGTGAATCATAGACACATCCCATTCTTTGCCGACAAGATTTCTCGAGCTCCTGTGAGTCTCAGAGTTTGAGAAGGGAGGGCCCCTGATTCCACCTTGATGGTTCTGTCGTAGTTCAGGCGAACAAAACCAAACTCTACACGTACCATCGAGATGTACACATTCCTTTCGGATTGCGACCCTCGTGGTTTCAACGGATCTTTCTCACCGACATCTCTTCGCTGGATTGTTCTGCACTGCTTTTAACTCACGATAGAAACATATCATGGTTCACGTAGATCGGTGTGAGAGCGATCGTCCTTGGACAAGCGTTGACCTGCATATGGTTGTGAGCATAGATTCAACATTACGTGTTTGAAAACCAGGACACGTCGACAGCATGTTCTGTAATCGCAGGAAGCGTGAGTCGCGGAACCATTTTTCGTCTTGAGGAAGCAGCACATTCGTTAGCCTCAGCTCCTGGAGTGAGTTTGACGTTGCACGAATCGATCCTAAGAGATGACCAGCTCATCAGATCGTCGAAGAATTTCCGAAAGAAAAACCTCTTCTTGCGATCAACCCCGAAACCTGATATGTGAAACGTTGTAGTATGTGATTCTCTCTGCTTGTTGAAGAGCTTGTCCCTGACACCGAGAGCGAATTACAACAGTTCCGCTCAAGCCTCTCCTAAATGCACCTGACTTCGGTTCGAAACAAAGCAAATTCTTTGTGCAGGTCATCCACCTTGTTTCCCAGAAGCTCTTTGTCCTGATGGGTTGTAAGCATTCCGGGAAAGCAGTATCAATTTTATCACCTTGATTGATTTTAGTTGTGCCATCGTAATGGTGTCAACGTATGAGGTGTTGACGGAAGCCTCCATTGATTCAATGTAAGGAGCCCTCTCACCACAATGCGACAAGCTCCATCGATTTTAACTGAAACATTCGACTTTGAGACAATAAAACGAAGTGATGGTCATTTTCTTTATCGCCCTCGCTACAAGCTTCATTGCTTCTCTTTCTCCTCCTATCTTAATCTCGTCCTCATCCCGTCCTCTCTTTGTAACTCCACCACTGCACTGTTAACCATCCGATCCTGTCCGATCGTTTTTACTACTTGGGCATCAAAACTCTCTAGCTGAAAAAAAAAGGTCATCGCTTATTATCCCTGGGATAGAGGGAATTTTGGATGCGCTTTTAATTAAAAACCCGTTTGCTGAGAAGTAACGAAGACAAAGAATTGACTCATGCATGTTTGTGAGAACTCAATCACTCAGTTGGTGCAGAGAATTCATGACGGACAGATGTATGTGATCATTGTGTGTCTGTCCCTGCTGACGGCACTGGCGTCGAGGATTCCGAGCTTGACAAGTGTTTCGAGTTGCACAAGAAGTTGAAGGTCTCTCAAGAGAGGTATTGTTGCCTTAGCCTCCGCACTCATTCCTGTTGCCTTAGCCTCCGCACTCATTCCTGTTGCCTGGGCCGCACTCGGAACTCTCTTCTTCTCTTTAAGCAGCGAGACTTGTTTCGGAACTCTCTCGAGATCTCTGTTTTCAGTGACACACTTCTCTTACCTCGAATGATCTGTTCTGATTTGTTCTAATCTGTTTAAAGCTGTTCTACTCGACCTCGGATATTTCAAGTTGTGACCGGAAGAAGGTGAAGAAACTTTTCACTGTGCTGGCGATGACCATGCAGCTGGACCTCAGGTGTGACAAGGGCGACCTTCGAAGGACCTCAAGGAAAAATTCTACTACTGTCCTGAAGGAATTTACACCCTCCCTAAAAACCTTCCCCAGTCCCTTCCGATGCTTTTCAATGTTTTGGCTTGTGCTTTGGGATATATTTACTTTAGTTTGGTCAGTATGGAATTTCAAGAAATTTATTCTATTCCTCAACGTACGGGACTTGGCATTATCCTCGTTTTGCAGGTGACCTGGACGTAACATTACGGCGAATATTGAAAGCAAGGTCGAATCTTACCATATGCTTTGAAACAAGATACTATCCCAGAAATTGTTCTGTTGTGCTTCACACTGTACACCGACATCGCGCTTGCAAGAGTTTTCTTGAGGAGATGGCTGCTCTATCTCAACAATCGATCTAAGTCCGTGACCCATCTCCGCTTGAGCTCCTATCCCATCCATGATTTGAACATCCGGCTGGTGATTTGGCGAGATTCCATCGTCCGCTTTTGGAGAGTTTCCTGTGTCCTGCTTTCAAAGTCAATGCTTCACATTTCGATCGATGCATTAGTCTGAACCTCATGAACATTTTTTGAATTCAATTTTGAGTAGGAGCCTCGGAATTGTGCCTCGATTCGCTTTAGATATTCATCAGTGTCGGAAGCTATTTGTGCAGCTTTTTGTGGAGAGGTGATTTTTGACATGATCTCCTTAGTGATTTCGTATCTCGTTGAATGAGTACCATCCATTTCATCTTCTGTGACAGGAATCAAGCTTGAGAACACATTTCCGTCCATCCACTCCTTTCCTCCTAATTCTTGCTCGAAATTGTTCTGATTCTTTGTTTTCTTCTCAATCATCCTCATCTCAGAAGACCTTTCCTCTTTCCTGGCTATTAGAAATTCGTTCATCAACTCTTCAGCCTGTTTTGTTGGTAATCCACTGCCAGATTCCTGTTTCGGACAATGAACAAAGCCAACTCTCCACCCTTTGGGTTGATACTGATAATCTGCAGGTGCGAATGAAATCTTGATCATGGTTCCTTCTTGCAACAATGGTTCAGCTTGATTTAGCACCATACAGCAGGGGATCTCGATCTGCAAAGGAATGCAGCTGTCATCATTCTGAAATCCTGCTTCAAGTTTAGGAATCATCGTGAACTTGTTTGAAGGATCCCAATCCAAGACAATAAGGCCAATCGCTCCCGCTTTTTGACAGAAGTGAAGTTTTCTGCTGTAATTGCAAGGCGGAGCAAAAGGTTTTGGACCTCTCTTCACCGCAACAATCTTTCCAGCTACCTTTGAGAAGATCATGGACTGCACAGAAATGATTCTTCGTTTACCTGGTCTGCATTCCATAGAGGCATGTCTGCAAACTGCGGCCTTGCCCATACAAGCCTTCCAGATATGTTGCGCAAATGTTTGTAAGCTTCATGCTTCCGCTTCTCACCCTGATGACCATGAATCAAAACCAAGCTTGCAAGGAATTATTGCATCAACATTTGTTGAAGTCGCCTTGGCGATGCAGAGGCCAACACATTGAGCCTTCCCATCCAGAAACGCCTTGGATACCTCTTCTTTGGTGCTTGGTTTCGCGCCGTCCCATAACGGCATATTGTCTTGATAACGCACGAGGTACTTTTTCGATTCGATGTGATTGTAAAGATAGCCTTCTGTTGGCAAACCGCATATAAACGAGCCCTCATAAACTTGCCTGTAGGTACCGAACATTGTCAAATGTCCAAAAATTCATATAGGAATGATTACCCGTCTGTAAAGTAATACTTCCCTTGTCCGGTCAACTCTCCCCCCACAAAGAATCCATGAATTTCTGTACCATCTGGCAACTTCATCTCACAAAAGCCATGCGGGAGTCCATTTTGCAATTGTCCAGAGAACGTTAAACCATAGCGTACAAGGACATGATACCCGTTGCCAGTGTCTTGCTGTACGGCATGCTCGGATCTGACTTCGGATTCTCGAGCTTCGCCGTTGGTTTGACTCCGATAGGATGATACTTGCTTGTCTGAAGGACCCGTGGTGGTTTGTTCTCCCGCCTGAGAGGCATCGCTTCTTGGATTGATTGAATGCCTGGCTGTTTCAGGGTCGTTCTGCTTTATGAGAGGTTCGATCACAGCTGATGCTCGATATCTTATCCACTCCCAGTTCTGTTGTCCAGCAATACCTTCGATCTTGCCAATCACTCGTCTCATGATTCTCCTGTTCAAATCGGCCTGGTTAAGGAAGTGAGTGCCCGTTCAGAAATGATGTGTTAGTTTTAATCGAAAAATACCAATATGTTATCTGAGGCTTCTGGATCTTGCAGTGGATTTTGCACAGGTGATTGTTGATTGACAGATTGTTCTTGCAGGCGCTCGTGCTTCCTTGCGTTAAAGAATTCTTTCATCAACGCATCAGCCTCATTTTTAGAAATCCCGAATTTGCTTTCTTGGCGAGGACAGCCTACAATTCCTGCCCTGTAGCCTAGATTTGTTCCAGGCTGGACGGGTGGAAATGCAATTATGTGAGTGGCACCTTCTTGAAGCAGTGAGATATCTTTCTGCATGAGCAACACGAACGGTTAGATGCCATTGACGCAGGAATCCAGCTCACTTGCAAAATCATCACTGCTGGGATCTTGACTTGCACGAGAGGATTTCCACCTGGCACCACTCCAGAGGAGATTGGTCCTTCTTCCACTCTATAAGCAGCAGTCAATTTCTTTTTGCAATCAACTTCTGTGACCTCGGAATAGAAGTGAACACGTCGGTATTTTGATTGTCCACAAAGACCACAGCAACAGCACCCGCTAGTTGAGCATGATGTAATTTTGTGGTGAAAGACACCATTTCTGCTGGAGGTTTGGGGCCTCTCATTATTGCAACTATCTTCCCTCGGACTTCATCAGCGTTCCATAATGGAACATCAGCAAAGGGGGGCCGTGCTAGCACAAGCCTTGCAGATATATTTCTGATATGGGCATAAGAATCTTCATCTTGCGCTAGGCATTCAAGTCAAATTTAAAACCGTAGACATGAGCAACAATACCTTCCCTTGTTGGCAAAGCATTCAAAATAACTTTTTTGCAGGCTAGGCAATTGACCTTCCCTGGTACATACGGCTGGAGCAAATACTCAGAAGCTCCATTTGATGTGATATCACACAACCAGCTCTTTTAATAACATAGTTGCTTACCTTGTGAGAGACTTCTTCCTTTTTCAGAGGAGTCGCTCCTTCTTCAAAAGACACTTTTCCATCATATTCGACCTGGCTGACAGTTCAAAAATGGTTCTTATGCATTCTTTCTCGTCACCTTCCATCGAGTCCCATCGTCATCATCCAGAAATCCTACCCCATGAGGATTTCCATCTTTAAAATGTCCTAGAATTTCAATAAGTTCAATGCTTTCAGTACTTTAACCACCTGTAAATCTAAAGCCTTTCTTTGAAAAATACTTGGCTCCACCATACATTTTCCCATTCTTGAAATTACCATGGTACTCGAATAGGTCTGACCTGCTAATTGATTACTATTCACCGTAGCACGAATAACATCTATATGAAAACCTTATTGATCCTTGAAATTCCCTCAATGTCCCCTTAGAATAACCTTGGTAGTCGTTCAGATTGCAGGTAATAAAAACATCGATAATTTCACCGCAATACTCATTTCCATCAATCACATTCCTAATGTACATCAAAGAATCTTTGGCCTTGTTGTCCTTTGAATTCGACTGATTCTCAATCGCATATGATGATCTTGCTTCCTGGACTCGTTTGAGCCAGCGTGCAAGCTTTGATTCTGGAGTATTTCAAATGATCTCAAAACACATTTCCAAATGCATCCTTACCAGTCCTAGGTTTCGTTTGATTAGCATCGTTGCAGTTTCTTGAATTTCTGATTCTTTCAAGCCACCTATCGAGACGAGTTGAACCACTAAATGAAACACAAATCAGATCTGGTTGTTCACAGCTGGTCCATGAGAATGGATTACTTTGTATTGTGTTCCAATGTTCCCGTTTCATGGCAATGCTGGTTCGAGCTGTCAAGAATCGTGGAAGTAGAACTTTGAATCCAATGCATCAGCTTCTCATATGGTTTGTCCTTGCTCGTCCCTGATACTTCCAAAATGACAAAGTGAGACAAGAGCCGAGTCTTCACAGAGATTTCACGACACGAGGAGTTACCTTGTTGTAACTTCTTCGCAATATACTCCTTCAGAGGTAAGTGAAGGCAGTGATGAGCTACCCTGTCAAGCCACAGATCGAGCACTTCTTCTTGCAAGGAATGCATAGCCGGCTGATCCATCCTTGTCACTGTCAGGACGATCAAGGGAGCCAGTCACTGAAATCTGTTGGGCTCAGCAGCAGGACACGTGACCATGGAACCAGCTCGTGACTGGGCTTGACCCTCCTGCCCGCTTCGAGCAGCTCAGCTATCCTCCAGCTCCTCAAGCTTTGCCAGAAGCGCCGGATGCTGCATCACCGACAGCGAAACTGTGGCTGCCAGAAATGCTTCTATTTCCGCAAGGATTGATGATAGGCCCACCGATCTGCCTCAGAGCCGAATCACCGAGAATGGAAGGGCAAAAGTGAATTCCTAGACCCCGTCTCATCAACTCTAAAAATCCCCACGTCCTCTGCCCTGCCCCCCTGCCTTCATCAGCCCTCTGCTCAGCCCTCTCCTCCTGTGTGCGCCAGCCCCGTGACTGTGCCTGTGACTCGCATACTACTGTCTCGTCCTGCTGCCCACGCGTGGCTTTGCCTCGTCCGACCTACTTGCTGCTACTCGCATACTCCATTCGCCTTGACACAATGAGTCACTGGACGGAAGAGGAGCGCAATGAGGCTCTTCGACGCCGAATGGAAGGAGCGCCCCTGATGCAAGGAGCTCCTTCTCTGAATTCCCTCAAGTATTCTTCTTCTGTCTCTCAAGAGTCATGCTCCGCCTGTGACACTCATGCATCGCAGGTTCGTGAGCAAAGGAGAAGCTGTGGTAGTAGGAGGCGAAGTTCAGGATGACTTTCTACCGGCTGGTCTTTGATTCTGTTCTACAACGCAAAGTATCTGATTCTCGCCCTCCCTTTATTCCTCTCTCCTTTAATCTCCACGTCCCTTGCCCTCTCACGCTGCAGATTCCTTCGGTGGTTCAAAGGAAGGCTACATTTTCAAGAAAGGAAGTCATGGCCTCGGATACTACCTCGATCGAGGGCCCAATCAGAACATCGAGGAAGGAGAAACAAGTAGTAGCTATGACATCGAGAAGCATGTACAACGCTTGTTGGTGAAGACTTTGTCACTGTTCTGAATTGAAAACATAGGCTCGAGGTTTGAAAGAACCAGAGAGAGAGCAGCGACCGGGAGAAGGACGGGTGGGTGCTCTGGGAGACCTGCTAGCAGGTTTTGTATATCATCATGATTTCTCAACATCAACAGTGAATTTTCAGAGAACAAAGCGAAGAAACAAGAAGAGTTTGAAAAGATCATACATGATAATAGGTCAATCCATTGTAACTGCTAGCGAATCAGTGCTGTTTTGATACCTGCTTATCAGATTCTGCCCTCCAAAAGCATTGGATGATGATGAAGTAAGCTTTCTCGGTGAAAAAGAGAGGGAAATCAGGGAAAGGGAAAGACAAAGGGTGCGAGAAGTTCTTGTCAATTTCAACCTTCTGATCCAAATCAGATAGAGGAAGAGCGAAGAACACAGAGAGAATTCAGAATTGAACAGGCAGAACAGAAGGCTGAGGTGAGAAGAGAAATGATTGGCCAACTTAAAACGTTTAAAATATGTTTTTCTGCAGAAAGATTCTTCGATTGATTTAGCAAAGATCATGGGTCAGGTAGTAAGCACCCGTCTGTCAATTCCAGACCTGATATTGCTCTATGATAACAGAAAAGGAAGCAAGCTGAGACGAATGCGCAGAGCTCGTACAAGAAAAAAATCAATTGTTGCTACGAGATGGCTGACTGCAGGTGTAGGATTCTCTCAAAATTGATTTCTGCAAATCGAAAAGCTGGAGGAGAGGTCTCTGTTGAAAAAAAGCAAAAGGTAGCGGAGCCTGCAGGAGGTCTGTCTTTGTACTGGCTCCGCGCTTCGTTGATTTCTTTCTAGGAAATGCTCTCTCGGGGCTTGCGGACTACGATGACTCGGATTGATTTCTTTTACGCTTTCCGTCCTCATCGCATTCTTTTTCCATGAGATCAGTTTTCCAACATGAGCAAATGAAACCGAATTGGCGCATCGCTGACTTGTCCTAGCCTTCCCTTTTCCTGGTCTAGTGACGTAAAGAAATTTTGCCCTGAGTCGCATGCGCTGTTGGATCGGCTCTCTCAGTGCAGCCAAGTGACATCTCAGTCGTGTCCAGAGCCTCACTGATGTTTGATGTAGACGAGATGAAGGCACGAGGGTTTTAACATGTATGCCTTTGAATGCTGGTGGGATAGGGGTGGGTGCTCGATCTCCATATCAAACCTCCTTCTAGGCTATAAAGCCCGGGGGTAGGGTAGGATGCATTTTCTCGGGCCAATTCAAGCCAAAGGGGGGTGGGGTGAGGTAATAGTCCAGCAGGGCGACCAACCATGACGGGCAGCAAGGAAGGGACAACGAGGAGAGGTGAGGAGGCTGCGAAGAAGAAGAAGCAGAAGACAGAGGAAATGAACAAGAAGAAAGGAACAAAAGAAACTCTAGGTCAGGATTTGGTGCACATGTTTAAGGATTCATGAAACTCCTCTACCACCCTCACCGTGACCACCCTCACAGCCAACCCTCACAGCCAGCACCAGTCAGATACCATTCAGAGTTGCTTAGGGCTCGATGGAAACTGATAGGATTTCGAATGCATCGTATTATATCCTCACAACCCTGCCAATCTTAATTTCGTCTGATTTTATTTCAGGAAAATTCTTCCTTTTCTACATATTTTTCGTGAGCTTGTATGGTCTGCACAATACGAATGGTTCTGAGTTGAATCTTGTTGTCAAGCGTCATCACTCATAATTCAATGTCTCAGCTTTACCCTGCAAACTGTCCCAGTACGTGGCAAAGAGGTTAGATACACTCTTGTTTGCATTTTATAACTTTGGTATCCATAACAGTACAGTCAACTTGAAAACTCCTACCCCGGCGGTTTCGGTTGCCTTTTCAAGAGGTGAAAAAAGCAGAAAGCTTCCAATTTTCTTAAAGTTCCACTAGATGGCTCATTCCTCCTCCTGCCGTTAGCATCTAACAAAATATGGCGGTAAGCGACACTTGTTGACTCCACTTACTGACTTGATGTAGTTTCGCCGTGAATGGTACCCAGCAAGGAGTATTGAATTTAGTCAATTTCAAGAAGCCTGTCAATGGAATGGTGAAGGTAGGGTACAAAACGAGAGTTTTAAGCAGTTTTACAAGTCGAGAACAGATGGGTAAAGATAGCTATGGAGTGTACAATGAACGAGACAAGATTGTAAAGAATACTCTCCTCCGTTTTTTGCAGAATTGACATATATTAAGATCTCGGTGTTTCCTGTTGCTCCGGCCACGAAGCAAGTTGACAACTCAACGACAACGCAATTCATCCATGCGCAGGTGAGAGTAGGTAGATTTGCGAGTTGATGAGCAGATGTTGGTTCAGCTTGGACTAAAGTTGGATGCTCCGACCCGCATTAAAGGGTATAGTCGCACAACCAAGAAGTTTTACATGGCTGCTACAGCTTTCGTCAGTCTCGTCTTCTTTTGTGAGGGGATTGCTAATTTTGCACAGAAAATGCCCCCAAAAGTCCTGTTTGTGAAGATTTCGCCGACAAGCAACAAAGCGGAATCTACGATTTTGCTGGAAGTAGGCTCAAGCAGACCATGTCAAATCTCGCCTCTTATTGTTGATATAGAAGAAGGATAAGAATTCTGCTGATTCAAAGGAACTTGTGGGATACGACAGCTGGAGACACATCTTGGCTATGCACACAGACTCCGATGGTAAGTTGCGAGGATGATTACAGGGTCAGATGAAATTTTCCAAATTTTGTTGAAATAATTCTCTGCGAGGCGATTCTGATTCAAAATGTTGTGAATACGAGATTCTGACTTTCATTCAGCGACTGGGAATATCCTAGTAATGGGAATTCGTGTCGACAACATAAAATCTTCAAAAGACAAACCGAGGAAGCAAAGAACAGTGAGACTGACTTTTATCATTTCTTTCTTTTAGAACTATAGTATGAGATTCATGATGAATTTTTCAAGATTTTTATTGCTCAGCTGTCTAAAGATGGAAAAATTGTTGAAAGTGATGACATTCCGTTGAATCCGAGGTAACGTTTCCATTAACCTGTTCTTTCGCATTCTTGTACTGTGAATTCATTTCTCAACACGATCAGATATGAATTTCTGTGACTGTTTTTACAAGGCATGTTCCAGTAGCCTTCACAGTCCTCAAGTCTGGTACGCAATACTTTGAGAAAGATTCGTTTTTCATTAACCGACAGGAAAGATCCGGATAGTGACAGGAACGAAGTTGATGATCGATCTGACTTGCAGGTGTTTTGTCATGCAGACACCTTCTGTATTTGATGTTCGTTCGCAGAGATCCGAACAATCCTGTAGATACCAAGAAATCTTTGTAAGGTTGCAACTCTGATTCGACAGAAGCATTGAGTGTTGTTTCAGCGATCTGATTGTGGGCAGTGTGATAGCCAAAAAGGTGATTCCAGTCTCTTTCCAAATCTTCAACTCACTCCTCTGGTTTTTATGGAATAGAATGTCACCAAGAAAGGTCGAGACGGATTCCACTTTGCTGCTCCTAAACGGTTGTTACTGCTTAGCTCCCAAGTTCATGGATCCCAACTCCGGCAAGATCTATAGGGACGGACATGGCAAAAAGTTTGCTCCGCTCCCAATGAACCCAGAAGTGAGGATTCGCTCGTTGGCTACTCTTTGGCCCTGACTTGAAAATGAGGTTTTTAAACGGCTCGTTCCTCTCCCCAAGGGTTGGATGCCCTTCAAGGCAAGTGACTGGAAGGACACGAAGAAGAAAGCACAGAAAGGTAAGTTCCCGCCTAGTCGAGAGCAGCGGGGTGGGCGCTGGCTGGGGGCAGCCGAGAAAAAGCAAGCATTTGACGATTCATCGTCTAGCCTTGCAGAGAGACAACCCAACTGCCCCCCCTAAGGGAGTTTCCTTGGCAAGGGCCTCTAAATTCAGAGGAGGAGAACTTTCCACGGTATTGTATCTGCATGAAGAATATGCGCCTCAGCGTTTGCTTTCAGCCTGATCCTCTACTACGGGAGGAGATGCAATTGCATGGATACTTTTACAACAAGGTGACAAGAAGAAATTCTTTTACAACGCCTGGAAATTAATACAACTGGCAGACCCTAGATCAATTCGTGAAAGACATCAACTTTCATGCCGGCGAATGGCTCACAAATGATCAGATTGATCGTCACTTGTCCAACGTCTAGATTTTTGTTTTCCTCAACTCTATTTTGACATGTTAAGTTCAGGTGCGGGGGGTGGTGGGGAAGGGACAAGTAGGGGACATGATTATCGTCATCTTCCTCCTGTTACTTGTCTGCATGGCTGCCAGGTTATCCCTCTTGATAGCTCTTGCCTCTTCTGAGGGAACGGGAGGTAAATGAGCTCTGAAGCAGGTATGAAGCCGCAGTGTTGGGTATGGGTATGTGCAGGGGAATAGGGTGGGTAGGCATAGTAGGTAGGTGGGTGGGTCATGTCACTATCATATCAAAGGTTGGGTAGGGTGTTTAACTCAGGGTGGCAGTATAAAAAGACATTGGCTGCTGGTACCCACCCCGTTGACTTTCACAAGTAAAAGGAATATGATGTATATCTAAGAAGGAATAATCCATAGCAAGAAACTTAGTAAATTCAACGAAAGCCACAATGATAAGGTTGATGTCCGAAAACTGATGAAATCGTGGGGTAGGGTACAATTCCAGCCCTGGTGCAAAGGGTGCGGTACGAAACGTTTTTCAAATTGGGGGTGGGGTACGAATGTCCGATGTGATCGATCAAGGTAGGGGTAGGTTTGGGGTTTGTATGGGGTGGGTGATCATGACCGCAAACGTGTAGTAAGGGTGGGCTAACTTTCAAAAATTATTCTAAATTTAAAATATTAAAATATTTATTTGAGAAGTGTCTATTGCCAAGGTAGCTCGGCCGCATCAGATTGTACCATGAAATTAATATATAATTTATTTTGTACTGATTCGCAATAGATCCTCTCAAGTATAATTTTATTTTTCCGTGGGTTGGGTAAACGCAATGTGACATCGCCTAGCCGTGCTGGTACAAACTTGCAGGTAAAATGAGGGGTGGGGGTAGTCTCCGACTTCAATCCCTTACGTCGGCTGAGGTTGGGTTATCACGATACCACAAGGGTCCATGACAAAGATTGTACCAAAATGTTTTAGTCAAAATCATCATGGTGACGATGATGACATAAATCTCTGAAATGACGGTTTTTCGCAGATCAACACCCGAAACTCGGGTGACGATGACGCAAGTGGTCGGACAGAATTGTCAATGTTTCAGGAAGCGTTGCCTTCCCATTGACTCCTTCCTTCACGGTCACGGTCCCCGGAGGCTCCGGCCGGGCCGCTCGCAGGCTCTTCCGAGCAGTGAACGAACATTGCGGGCCGGTAGCCGGCAAACTGGAAACCGGGGCCCGGACAATGCACTGAGACTACTGAGAGGTTGACAGCGGCTGTCAAACTTTCAAGTCCGTCTCTGGGGACCCGGTCCTTGTCCTCGAGGACCGGCGCTATGGAGGGCAGCGGCTGGCAGAGTGAAGGAGGAGGGCCGGGAGGAGGGGGAGGAGGAGGGATCATGGAGGAGACAGACCAGCTGTACAGCAAAGAACCTGATAGGTTGAAGATGGAGGTAGAGAGACTGAAAAGCCAAGTGACGGCAGCAGAACGGACCGCTAGGAAGCTCAGGGAGGATTTGGCGACGGAGAGGCAAGAGAGGACGTACACAGAAGCAGAGAGAAGAGCTCTGAAAGAAGCTTACGATGCACTTCAACAATCATACGAAGTAAATGGACAGGTGCGTACTGGTATGGCTCATCGGTTGGATGGGGGTGGGGACGAGGGGACGAGGGGACGAGGGACTTGCGCGTTGATCATTTTCTCTCACACTTTATTTCAGTTGCTGGCGAACTCGAACCAGAAAGTTATGATGCTTGAGGAAGAGTGCGAGCGTCTCCGGGGACAGATGAGAACCAGCACGTCTGTTGAAGAGTATTCGAGGCAGAACATAAGAGCGGAGCTGCAGGAGACTAAGGAGGAGCTTGACAGAGCATACAACCAATTAGAAGAGCTCAGGACGCTAAGGGATGCAGAGCTCGAGCATGAGAAAGACCGAGCGATTGAGACTCAGAAAGCTCTTGAGAACGGACTGTTCTACAGAGATGAAGCCAATCGCCTCTACCAATCAGTGGAGGACCTAGAGCGACAGAAAGAAGCGCTGGAAAAGGCGAAGGGCATGACTCTAGGAAGGATGAAGCAGCTAGAGGAGAACCTTCAGAATGCGCTCTTTGACCTCAAGCGAGAGCGAAGCTTGAACCGCTTCGTGACGGCCGGGCTCTTCATGTCCTTGGAGGCAGGCAAGCGCTTCGACAAGACGTACAAAGTCTTCAAGCGTCGCACGCAGGAGCTTCAGAGTCAGAACCAGCACTTCTACCATCAGGCTGTTGCCCTGCAGGCTAGAGGTCAGTACGAGGCGGCAAGCGAGAAGTACGAGCAGGCGCTGGCAGCTGACATGAGCAACACGTCGGTGCTCTGCTCCTACCTGTTCCTCCTTGAGCACTGCATGGACGATCGCGAAGCTTCCTTCGCCCTCCTGCAGCGGCTGATCGACCACATCGAAGGATCGAAGCTATCGAGAACGAGCCAGAGGAACCTGACGGAGTCCAACTTGAATCTGCTGGAGCTAGAGCTTTCAAGAGCCCGCAAGGACCTCAAGAAGGTGTTTGTTGCCTCCACCGCCTCTTTGAAGATGCATAATGCCTCGGCAGATTTTCCGACACATCCATGCATTCACGACCGCTGACGATCCGTCCAAGTCAAAGGCCGCCAAGAAGATCATGAGCTATGAGAAGTGAGACCTCTATCGGTTACTGTCATCCTAGCTCAGCTCGTTTCCAGGTCACACAAACATGACATAGCACGGGCCAGGTTGTCAGGCAACGAGTCGCTGGACTCGAGCTCCAACGTCTCTTCCTCCACTATCTTCTCCAAGCACCGAGACTCGGCGCACAAGGTTCTTCAGCTGCTCTTCCTTCCCTCGGCTCACACATGGCAGATCGCGCACCTTCAGTCCGACATCAGCAAGTTGTTGGACATGCACGACATCAAGCAGGAGGTGACTCTTCCTCCTCCTCTTCTCCTTTAGCCTCCTGTGTCCTTCACCTTCTGCTGCAGGTAAGCGCCATGGTGCTGCAAGAGATCGCCGCTAGGATGCAACCAGCACAAGTAGCGAGAGGCTTCAAAGCGCGCAAGTCAAGATCATCGCAAGCGTCGGACGAGGACTCACAATTCGATGATTTCGACGAGGACGCGAGCCTGAGAGAGTCGCAGGAAGACTTCGACGATGAGTTCGAGGATGACGATGATGACTTCATCGACGAGGGGGAGGAGGAAGAGGAGGAGGAGGAGAGAACAGCGCATGATGAAAGGACCGCAAGAAGTTCACAACGACAGCAGACCAACGACACGCTTGATCGCATGATGTCTGAGCTGGATGTGCTCGACAGAAGTCAGTCAACTTGTTTCTCCCGCCCTCTCTCACTGTTTGTGCTCAGATTCTTCCGGGAACAGAAGAAAGCCGATGAGATGACGAGGTCGAGTCAAGCTGTTTGACGTCACTGACCGACTCTTGGAGGACAGGCGATTAAAGTTATTAATCAACTTTAGGCGATTACGAGCGAGACATGTAGGACTCCATGGTCTTGTTCATGATGACGTCAGCCTGGTCCCAACCCTCAATCAGCAACAAGAGATCATGAGGCTGGTGACTCACCAGCGCATAGACGAGCTTCCAGTTCTTGTCCCACGCTTCCTGCTTGTTTCCGGTTGCCTTGGCGTCTGCTGCAAGACGTTCAAGCAAGCTGGCAGCAACTTTTGCCTCTTCGTCCGCCTGAATCTGCTCGGGTGTGGGAGGCTTCTTCTCGTATTGCTGAACGAAGATTAGAAGTCACTCGAGCGAGGAAATGCACGCCGGGGAGAGGAGAGGAGGAGGAGATGAAGGCGAGGGGGGGGTTGGGAGAAGGAGGCATCACCTTGATCTTGTCTCGGGACATCTTCTGCATCAAAATTCGACTGTCACCCTCGGCGAACTTGCAACAGGTCAAGAAATCTTTCTGCTCGAATCCTGTCCCGGCCATGAGCGCGTAACTTCCCACGTCGTTTTGCAGTCTGTGGCAGAAGTCGATGCTGTCTTCTACTGCCTTCACCTTCTCGGCCTTCATCACCCACATGCTCAGCACAACTTCAGCTCACCTTGGCGACCGCGATCGCGTTAACCAGCTGCAGGCTAGGCAGGGAGCCGGAGGTGAGGCAGTCAGAGAGCTGCTTCTCGCACTTGCCCACGAAGGCTTCGAGGGTGTCGAGGCTCTTGCGGTTTTCGATGAAGATGTCTTTCAGCTGCGGGATGCTTGACAGCGAGAGCTCGCCCGTCGGCGACCAGCACTTCTTGGAGTCAGCGTAGGACTTTGTCATGTCGAAAAGACTCTTCCGGAACTCCAGAGCAGCCTGAGCCACAGCAACTCGTCCGGTGAAAAGCCTCTGACCGATCATGTGGAACACTGGCATCCCCTCCACTTTCTGAACGTACTTGTCGCCCTCGATGTCGGCGAACCGGTTGAGCAGCGCGCTCTTGGGGAGCTTCACGTTGGAGAAGGCGATGGAGGCATTGTCAAGATCTGCGCAGAGAGGCGTCAGCACAGTCACGCCAACCCCTCAGACTCAACCGTTGCCGACGGTTTTCGTCCCATGTCGGTCAACAGCACACCAGGCAGGACCTGGCCGTTGTCACGGAGGTTGACGACGAAGGCGTGAGGGCCGTGAGGCTTGCCCTCGATCATCAGATCCGCTACCACCACCGTCCTGTCCGCCACCAGACCTTGCGAGATCCAATTCTTAGCGGCGCCATGCGACGGTGACGTCAAGTTGAAGGTCTGGGTCCTCGAGTCCCAGTGGGCTTGAGTGTTGACAACCAGCCCTGAGTTCACTCCTGCCAGTTTCTCCGTGAGGCTGAAGCAGCCGAGCAGTCCCTTCTCCTGCCACTCGTCCAACTCTTTGATCTGCTCCTCGTTGCCCAATCCAAGAACAGTTCCCGCACACAAGTTGTAGTGAACGGTGAATCGGATCCAGAAGCCCGGTCCAAGCTTCGGGGCGTGTTGAGCGAGCAGGCGGTGAGCCAAGAAGAAGCGATCAGGACGCTTGTTGAGGTCAGTGTTTCTCAGCAGGCCCGTCTTGAGAAGGTCGCGCATCCGCTGAGCAGACTCTTGGTACGAGATCTGCAGCAACTCTCACGGCAGCGAGGAGAGACGCTCTTACCGTCTGGATGTCCATGCTCGCTAGTCCAACCGTTGCTCTCTTGAATTCTTCTGCCCATTCATCGATCGACAGCTGCGAGATTCGATCACGCTCGGATGAGCTGGAGAAGGACCTGCGGGCGAAGCATGATTGAGGCCTTGACGTTAAGACGACTTGACTAGAAAAGCCACGAAGAAGAACAACTCTTGAAGCATTCGAACGAACTTTGAACATGCTGCAACACAAACTCAGCTCCTGCAAGAGAGCTGCACACACCAGGGTTCTCTTGTTATCATCGTAGCCTCTTAAAATTGCGGTAATCCATACATGTGATCCCCTATATTCGTTTCCTCTCCGAATTCCTTCAACTCCTCACTTACTCCCCGTCAACTTTCGAGTCTCTTTTTCGATGCTCATATCTCTCCTTCAGCACCTATCACTTCACTCCTGCCTCCATCCTCCTCTCGCTCCTCTTGATCGACGTTAGGACAGCGATCTCAAACATTCATAAATCTTGTTTCTACTCCTCCCTCCCTCCCTCCCTCCCTCCCTCCATCCTCGCTGTCTGACTCCCGGACTTGCAACCGTGAACTGCATCGCAAACTTGCAAGGGTCGCAATCACTACCCCCACCCCCTCACTTCCCCAATGTTACACCCTTCCGTTCAAAGTTTCCGGGCCGCTACTTGTCATGTTCGCGATGGCTGCGGCAGAGCTGAAGGAGAAGAGCGAGAAGATGTAAGATGAGAGGAGGAGAGAAGATGTAAGATGAGAGGAAGAGAGAAGATGTAAGATGAGAGGAAGAGAGAAGATGTAAGATGAGAGGAAGAGAGAAGGAGGAGAAAGAGTTGAGAGGCTAGAGTTTGGAGGCAAGGTAACAGGGGACTCGAGAAGAGAGGACAAGAAATGGCAGTAGACGAGACGACATGAGGTTTTCTGTAGGAAGACAGCGTGGAGGATGGGAGATACAGGGGAACTGACTGAATGTGGCACAGGAGTCTGGACATCGAAGCGGTGGAGGCTTCGAACCAGCAGGTACCAAGTGCCAGCAATTCCTCTCTACTCACGCTGCTACTGAAGCTGAACAAAGACGTCGAGGATCTCGACTTCTCTATAAGATTGCAGGAAGAAGCTGTACTGCCTTCCTGCCAGTATCCTTCTTGAACAAACCATCTATCATTTCATAATCATCATGATCAGCAGCACCACCAGCATTATCCTTTTCCTCTCCTTTCTCCTCCTTCTCCTCCTCCTGCTCATCATCATCATCATCATCATCATCATCATCATCATCATTCCCCTCACTGTCTAGATCCTCCTCTCCCTCCTTGCGAGGTCTGATCATCCGATTAGCTTGCAGATGCTCGTGAGGAGGCGAACAAACTCTACGAGCTTCAAGTGGAAGAACGCGGGTTGAATCTTGATCTCCATCTTCATCTCCATTCTGTCCGTCTTATATTCTTGGCGCTGTTAGGAGAGTGTGTGACCTACGGGAGGTGCATGAGCGATACAAGTTAAGGTTTCCTGCTCTCCAGAGACTTTCGATCCCAACGTGCCGGCAGAGAACTCAAGCTCGTCAGCGCCTTGACGAGCGTGAGAGAACGAGGAGACAAGTTGCGACAGCAACGCAAGAGCGAGGAGGTGAGGAGGAGATGGGCTGTAAGTTCTCAGGGTGTGAGAAGACGGTGAAGGCGAGGAGGAAGCAGCAGATGCAGGAGCTGCGGGCGGCAGTGAGCGAGTACGAGAAAAAGATACAGGAGGTGATTCAGTCGTGGGGAGCAGGTGGCAGGCTAAAGGATTGATAGACACAGATAGAGACAGCGAAGATGGAGGAGACACGTCGGTCTCTGCAAGGAGAGTATGAAGAGAGGCAACGGGAAGTGAAGGACTCGGTGATGAAGAAAGAAGCACGTCTGGCAGATCGTTTGAGAGCTGCTGCAAGTGACGACCAGCTGGATGAGATTCGAAGGCAAGAGTAAAGGAGGGGGGAGGAGAGTATGATGTGGGAGGCAGGAGATTCTTAATCATGGAGGAGGAGATGGAAGAGACAAACCAAGCAGAGGCAATGAAGCAGGTCCAAGCGAAGCATCGAGAGGTGACCCAAGCAGTGCTCTGCTCCTCCTCCCTCATGCTCTCACTCTCGCAGGGGCTTGCTCGGCTAGAGATTGTGGAGCAGATGAAGCGATGGAGACTTGAGTGTCACTCCTGCCGAGGTTGAGAGGAAAATCACTCGGACTTGTCTGACGCAGAGCAGACAAGCAGAAACCTCTCACAGTCTACTATAGCTCGGTGAATAATATCGACTCCTTTCATCCCTTCTTCCGCTCACCTTCCCTTCCCTTCCCTTCCCTTCCCTTCCCTTCCCTTCCCTTCCCTTCCCTTCTTCGTCTCATTGCTTTTCCTAGCTTTATCTGTTGCATATGCTTATCAAAGTCATCCTAGTCGCCGGACGCGCTTCTCTTGCGCCGATTCCTCTTGTTCCTCCTCAAACCTGCGACGGACATGGCGGAGAGGATTCAAGCACTTTTTTCTCGATATGCTCATCACCTGGTTACTTGCTTTCTCTTCTTTCTCTTGCTCCAACCGCGTCTTGCTTCGTTCTTCTCCCCCTCAGCTTCTCCTCCGCATCCCTCATGAGGTTTCGGCAGGCAAGGCTGCACGCTTACTACAGTCTGGCGGGGAGCGAGAGGAGGACGAGGCAGGAGGAAGAAGTCAGCAGGCCGGCCATGAGCATGCAGCAGTTCGGTAGCACAAGCTGCGAATGTACAAACATGATGACGTGGCAGGAAAACTGATGAGCGACTGCGGGGCGATACCCACCGAGGTCTCCTTGTCCTTGCTCGACTCTCTTTTCCTACGCACATGCCAGGCTGCAAGAGAATTGGAGACCCCGTCCTCTACCCCAACCTCTTCCTCCTTCCCCTCCTCTTCCTCCTTCCCCTCCTCCCCTTCGACCATGGAAGCGAAACTGCGACTGGAAGGCTTCATGGCAGCTCTCGCCGTCTCTGCCGTTCATCTCGTCCAAGAGTCGAAGTCTATGGCTGGTAAGTCGGTGAATCCAGACGAGGTGGCACGAGAACAGACAGCAGAGGTGGAAGAGGATGATGACGAGATAGAGGAGGAGGAGCAGAAGTGAGTTGAGCGCAGGCGCTGTCTCCATCCTCATCATCGAACGCTTGCTTCCTCGCACCTGCACTCTCTCCTATTTGCTGCTCGATCGCGATGAGGATCATGTGAAAATCCTTCTAGAGGAGGAGAGGAGGCGACCATGGAGGGCGGGAGGGCTTGAGGAGCAGCGCGCCCTCTACCTTGCTGAGGTAGGCTGGCGACCATCCTCTTCCTCCTTCGTCTTCAACCCGACGGCTCTGACTGCCAAGCGAGCCTCAGCAAGAGACCTCTAGGATGACACAAGCGAGGGTTGGAAAGAGCAAGGGAGGGGAGGGAGAGGGACGCATCGTCTGCTTTCTGTCTTGTGTCAGGTGCCAATAAATTTAATCTGATCGCCCGTTGCCTTAGCTTTCTCTCGGAGGAAAATTTCCATCACCTTTGCAATTTTCAGTAATCGCCCTCCCCCTCCCTCCCCTCCTTCACCCTCCTCCTGCACCTTCACATCCGCCTCTCCCTTCCTCTCGTGCATTGACCTGCTTCGCCGTCTCTTCACTCGGTAGCGACGCATCCAGCATGATCCATCGGCTCGCCCCCTTCCCCTTCTCTGCCTCCTCAAGGAAGGCATTTCGAACTCGCTGCTGGAGTTCGACCTTCTCGTACCTCTCCTGCACCCACATCAGTTGTATCATCTCTTCTCTCTCTCGTGCTCCATCCCCATCGCCTCTTCCGCTTCTCCTGCCCTGCCCCTCCCATATCTCTACCTTCCCGTAACCAGGTCGCTGCGCAGCAGCGCTCGGGTCGATGTCGAGCAGGAAGACGACATCAGGAGCAGGCAGACCAACCTCCCACGAGAAGCACCTGCTGTAGGTCAAACCAACACCTGGCGGAGGGGAAGGGGGTCGTTCTTGCCCGCACCCACCAGTCACGCCCGAGACCCTGCGCGATACTGTAGGCGAGGCCTGAGAAGGAGTAGCGGTCGACGACCACATGCCTCCCTTCTCGCAGGCTGCGGAGAATCTCTGCTGCTGCCTCCCACCTGCAGCCTTTCATGAGAGCGAGGAGGCGGCGATGAGAGCAGGGGAGCGAGAAGACCTGTTGGCGCTGAAGAGAAGGTGGACGAGGTGAATGTCGAGGCGAGCAGAAGCGGTTCGAAGATGATGGTCGATGAACTTGCCGAGGATCGTCTCTCGCCTGGGAAAGCCAAGAGGAACGAAGGTCTCCTGCCGCTCCTGCCACTTGGACTCAGAGAGGGAGGGGAAGAGGAAGAGGAAGAAGATGGGGATGGGGATGGAAAAGAGGAAGGGGAAGGAGGGGAAGGGGAAGGGGAAAGGAAAGGAGAGGGGAGGGGCAGGAGGAAGAGGAGATCTTGCCTGCAAGCCCTCCAGCAGTCTCTCTATCTGCGTTCCTTTGCCGCACCTGTCCAGCCCCTCGAAGAGGACGAACAGCCCTCGTTCCTGCTTCTCGCTTCTCATCCTCCTCAAGATAAATTCCAACTGTTCTCTGTACATTTCTATCGCGTCCATGGATGCTCGCTTGAGCTCTTCCTTTGCCTGCCCCCAACGCTCTTCGTCGCTTTCATCCCCCCCCTCCTCTTGCAGCCTTCGGATCTTAAGCTGTATCTCCTCTTCTCGTTTCCGAAACTCTGCTTCCTCTCCTCCTGCCTCTGCGTCCGTCGATCTCGAGCAGTATGTGCCTCTATGGTCGTTGCCTCCCCGCAGGCACAGAGGAGACGAGGTGTACGCTCTCCTGCTGCTCTCGTCACTTCCTGAACGCATTCGAACCCTTTACCTGCGCGTGGCCATGGCATTGTTCAAGGAAGGATGAGCAGAAACGACCCGGCTGGTCCACCTGCCTGCAGCCTGGCATGCAGATCTGTCGAGCCCGAGGGAGTGATCCAAGCAAAGATGAGCAAAGTTGAGGATGGAAGGCAGGCAAAGACTGATGCGCATCCCTTCCTGTGAGGCAGCTGTTACTCGGTAACTGACTCTCCTCTCTCAGCCCCAGACATCCCTTCCTCTTTCCTCTTCCTCTTCTTCCTTCCCATCCCCCCTTCCCCTTTCTCCTTCCTCCTCCCCCCTCCTCCTTCCGTTTCCTCTTTCTTCTCTCTCTCTCTCTCTCTCTCTCTCTCTCTCTCTCTCTCTCTCTCTCTACATGTGTGGACTTAAAAAATTCGAGTCGGTTTAAATCGAAAGAACCGATGGTCTTTTCAAAGTTTACTAGTGACGGCCTTAACTCGGCCCGCGGCCCGGGCCGCCGCGTCCATCCCGGGCACCTGAATCTTGTCGTCGGCAGCAGTAGGGGTTTTATGGATGTCCTTCTGAATAGCGTAGCGTAGTGTGCCCACTTTAGTTAACCTGGAGAAAGGGGTTAAGATCTAGGTTAAATCCATAGGTGACCCCAGTTCAAGACTCCAGTTATCAATTTGTACCACAACCCACTCTTTTTTTCAACTGTTAGAAATTTGTTCCACCGATGCATTCAAGTTCATGAGGTAGACATGCAATGAGGACAGAATGAAGATCGGATGCGCATGCAAAGGTCATGCTGCACTTGTATGAGGTTCCAGCATCACGTATATTGCATGATTCTCTCATGTAGTATGCCTGATGCTGTGCCACGGAAAGCCTAACTTAGTAAGTTGAAGGCCCGCGGCGCCGCTGATCAAGTTCAAGCAGTCTGCCACTAGACGGTAACTCACGCGGCGTCACCGGCAGTGATTCCTGGATTCACTCACAGTTCGGAGGAACGGGACTCACCGGCCGCGGCGGGGCGGCCAGCCTGCGCAGTGCCACTGGCCCCATCAAAGGCGCCGCACCGAGTCTTCAGGACCGTGAAGTTGACCGGGTGACCGACTGAGCACAGGCTCCCCCAGGCCTCCCCGTCGTGACTCCTCAGCCGAAGGCTTGGGCTGCGGCAGCAGAAAGCAGCCTGCCAGACGGTCGTCGGGCAGGTCGTCGGGGCCCCGCCGCCGCGACTGATGATCGGCGGATGATCGGATGTTCCGAGGCTCAATCGTAGGGCGCGTGCGGCCGTACAGGATGCAACTTGCAAGAAAGTCCAAATGCCGCCCGTTGCGCTAAAGCCGGGGAGAGCAGAGCTGTCGACTCCCTCGCCTCCTCCCTCTCCTGCCTCCCTCGCCATACCATGATGGTTGGTGTCATACCACCCACATGTACCACTTGCGTCGGATAACGGCCCTGATGAAAGCCACAAAGTTGCGAGAGGCCAAGGAGAGGAAGAAGAAGAGAAGCGATTGATCGGGGAGCCTCGAGGCAAGAAAACAGACAGAAACGCCAAAGACAAGTCTGAGAAGGATTTCTCCGTGATAATTCATCTTGTGCGTAGACCACAAACCACCTGTAACGAGGCAGCTAAGGGTAAGGTGTTGCAGCAAACTTTGCACTTGCGCGAAGACGAACCCCTGGAAGAACAGCGCTTCCATGAGAGGGCCCACGAGCACCATGTTCATCAGTCGTACGAAGACCAGAAGATGTCCCAGCATGGCGCGAGTGTCCGGGACTGTGCTGTAAGGGCTAGAGTACAAGTCGACTTCACCAGATAACGGTGTGGGAGGGTGAGCCGAATCGATCATGCCCTGCTTGTAGCATACCCACGGCCAGACCATATCGCCTGCTGCTCCGAGAAGTCCCAAAAATGGTGCTAACATGAGAAGGTGCAGAGGTTGAAGCTGTAAACCCCGTATGTCACCTGCATGACCCCAAAGCACCATGAAGTCTCCTAATGCAGTGAGAAACGTCACAAGAATGTATGAAAACCATCTTCCCCCTCCTGGCCATTTCGTTTCCATGGAGAATCCCTCCCATAAAAATGCAGAGAAAAGGCCAGCAGCTGCTCTCAAGCACATGGGGAGAGGAAAGGGTGGAGCAGAAGAGGGGAGCAGGAGCATTCCTCGAAAGGCAGCAATGGGAAGCAGCAATCCAACGAAGGTGAGAGGAGCTTGCATCCACCCTTGCCTGACAACTCGCTTCAGATGCTTCTGCTTTCCTCCTCCGAGGCTCATCAGCCTCTCCTCCTCCTCCTCCTCGCGCTCCACTCTAGTCACCGCCATCGCTCGCCGCCGCATCCCGACGATACACCACGGCCCCACCCCTACCCCCACCACAAAAATGACTACCCGATCTACAAAGTATCCACCCCCTGAACATTTTCTAAACAATCTACTACCAGTACTCGATAGAGAACTTTCATGGTATGAATACCCCCTCGGATCCATCACCCCACCCCAAAAAGTCGAAATGGGTCCTCACCCCTACCCCCTCTAGCTCCTTTGTCACTCCAACCTGTCTACCACCCTGATTTTGTGAGGACCCTCACCCCTCCAATGCAGCAATGTGAATGACATTTTGTGGGTAGGGGTCCATCGAGTAAGGTGGGGTGGCCAGGCGGGGAGAGGAATGGCGCGAACGCTGCGGGCGACAACCGCCGAGTTTGTGCCGCGAGCGATGAGAGAAGAGAGAGAAGAAGAAAGAGAAGAGAAGATAAGAGAAGAAGTGAGAGGGGAGAGAGGGGAGGAGAAAGGAGAGAGGGGAGGAGAAAGGAGAGATGGAAATGGAAGAGACGGTGTGCTACAAGGCGTCGTGGCAACTAGCACTGGACAAGTTGGAGGGAAAGGAGAGCAGGAAGCGGGGAGCTACGGCATAGCCGATGGAGAAGCGGCAGAGAGGAGAGTGATCGGTGGCTTCCGGGTGGAGGCAAGTGCATTCGTCCCAGGCTACAATGCAGAGACAGCAGAGTTCGTACCAAGTAGCCTGATGCCGGACGCGCATGAGTTCATTCCTGGGGGTTACAGTCAAGGCGAGGGATTTCATGGTGAGAGAGAGACAGACTTCGTGGATGAGACAGAGTATGACGACGGCGATGTTGCAGCTGAGGAGAGAGGGTTGGTAGAGGAAGAGGGTTGGGCTGAGGTGGCAGAGGCAGCAGCAGCAGGTGATGCGACCTTGGGAGAGATCGCGAGCATGGCTTTCGATCCGACCGAAGAGCTTGTGTGGATCGGAACAACAGCGGGCTGGCTCTCCTCCTTCCTCGTGTCTCCTATGGATCAGGATCAAGAAGAGTTTCCACTAGCTTTCCCGTCGTTTTCTCTCCGTCGAATCTGTCAAGCGAGAGCATTTTCGTCGCCGGTCAGGCAGATCCTCCCGGTGGTACATGGCGTTCTTTCCCTCTCAGACGATGCTGTGTGCCTTCATAACCGCTCACCCGTTCCCATGCTCACTCTTCCTGCCCTTCCTCAAGCACGCGGACTACTATGTATGGACTTGCTGCCTACTGGCGCTGGGCTGGTTGTGGGAGGGCATAGCAGGCTGCTGACGATGATGGACCTGGTGCATGCTACGGTGGTGACTGGCACAGAGATGGACCTTGAGGGGGTGACTTTCCTCAAGACCTCCCGCTACCTGACTTGCTCCTTCCTTGACGGTCACCTTCAGTTCCGAGACCCGCGATCCCTCGCGCTCCAGCACTCTCTGCTTGCGCACGCGGGCCCTGTCACTGCTCTGGATGTGCGGGGAGATCTGGTAGTGACGTGCGGGACGACAGTCTTCCGCGGCTCCTTGACAGTTGAGCCTGCCATCAAAGTTTTCGATCTCCGTCGTCATCCTCGCCCCCTTGCGGCCATTCCCTTCCCACATGGCCCTTCCTTCCTGTCATACAACCCGAGGCAAGCCAATCCCCTCCCTTTTCTCCCTGTCTTAATGCATCGCTCTCCTACTCGTCTCTCCTTTCATGTCTCCTCACGTCTTGTAATGTAACAGATTTTCCTGCACCCTCATTGCCGCCAGTCAGGTTTTCTTGATCTTTTAGATAATCTCGTGCTCAGTCTCTCTGCCAGTCTGGTGTTTTCCAACTCTGCGATGTCGGAGGCTTGTTTGCTGTCCCCCCAGTCCTGCAGGCGAGTCATCGCGTCATCGCCCTCCTCCTCACCTCTCGTCAGGTCGAGTGCAATGGATTGAACGCCATGGACGTCAGCCCGTCTGGCGAGGTAAGCTTCCCTCATGACCCTGTAGAGCAGCAGCTGATGTCAATTTGATGTGCGCAGATGCTCATATTTGGAGACGCGGGAGGTAGAATTTCCTTGTGGGTGGACCAGGCGGCAGCGTCAGGTGGAGAGAGGAGCGAAATGGAGGGTAAGGATTTACTGGAACGACAGCAAAAGCAGCTGCTGTCGGCGCTCCTGTCTCTGTCAACCCCATCGGAGTGTCGCTGCCGACGGTACTCCCTGAACCTGTCGTGTCAACCTACACGGAGGGCTGGGTGGAAGTGAGGAACAAGAGCTTCAACCTCACATTGTGATCTCGCAACGCAGGAAACAAGCTTGTCGCTGGCACCGCTCCAAGTGGAGGAGGAAGACGAGCAGCCGCTGCTCAGTGACTGGCCGCCGGTCGTACTGCCACCCTGTGCTGCTCCTCTTCAAATTGACTCAGAGTTCATGGCCATGGTGAGCCTGCAAAGTGCGGGCAAGAGAATGGGAATTTATCTGTTCTGGTTCTGTAGGTGACGGATAAAGATTTTGTGGGCTATGCGACCAATCCAGGGATCAAACGAGGGCAGCAGCAGCGCGGCCTTCCTCCTGGAGCCCTTGCAAGGCTACGTGGAACCAATGACCTCTCGTCGCTCCCGTTGTTGACTCACGAAGTAATCAAAGGAATCACTTGATGAGATTGAGGGATGACGTGGGTGGCAGAGGATCGATGACAACGAGAAGACCTTCTCAAGATCGCGAGAGCTGTGGAACTCAGTCCCTAAGTGCGTCAAGACGTTTGACAAATCGGAAAGGTTGACTTGGATTTTCAGGGACTATTGCCGTCGAGAGATCAAGTTCGGCAAGTTGGGAATAGAGGTGAAAAAGATAGAGCGAAGAGGACGAAAAGCAAAGGCACGGGGGGGGGGGGGGTTGAAAGAGGAAGGAAGAGGAAAAGAAATTGACTTGGCACAAAGGATTTTCCCTTCAAGCATTACAACAGCACGAAATTCGGGGGTCTTGAGAACACAATTCCCAACAGCTATGCGAACGCCTGGATTCATACCATGTTTTTCAACTACCAGCTGCGCTCTAGAGTTCTCAATCATCTATCATCCAAAGAGGTCCTCAAACTCCCGCCCGCCTGCTTTGATTCTTCGCTTCTTCCCATCCTTGTTCTCCTTCGAATCTATCGTTTACTCCTTCCTTTCTCCTCTTGCCTGTTAATTTCTCTGCTCTTTCTTCTTTTTCTTCTCTCTCTTCCCTCTTTTCCTCAACTCTTCAATCATCTTCGCAGCAGTGTCTTCTTTGTTACCTACTTTCGTGCTTTGCCTCTAGAATTTGTCCCGAACGTTTTACTCTCTTCCATCTTCTCACTGCTTCTTCAGGTTTGTCTTTCCGACGAGTTGGGCTTCCTCTTCCATATGATTCAGAACTCCCGCGGCGTCTGCTGCCAGGCGACCAACTTCCTGAGAGCTTTCAGGTCTTGACGGCTCTCAGCCCTCTGAACCGCGTCTGAACCACTTCACTCCCTTCTCTCATGCTCTCGCTCTCCTTTCCTCACTTTGCCTCAGTCAACTGCCCGAGGCCTCTCGCTTGGAACTTCTCGATCGGTCAACGGCTACGGCATTTGTGGTGCGGGAGGGTTCAGACAAGGAGCTGCTCAAGCGCATTCAGAATCTCAATCGCTTTGTGCTCGAGCAGGTCAAGGAGGAGAAGTGATGAGAGGGTGCCGCTGACACAGAGGTAGATGAACAAGGAGATGACTGTCCGAGACTTTCCCTCCGCGATCGATCTCGTATTCGGCGCCAACATGCGCCGGACTGCCACATTCCTACCCAACGATGACTCGGTAAGCTATGACCTTCTCCTCTCCCGCCTGCTCCCGTTCCTCCCCTTACCGTCTCTTCCTCCATCATACCCTCCTCTGAAAAACTCTTTCAGGGAGGATCCACGCAGGAGACGAGAGAGTTTCAGTGGCGCCTGTCGTATCCGAAGCCGCAAGAGGAGGAGAAGTCGTCGGACTCACGGCCCACATTCGAGCAGATTCTCGAGTCTTCCCTGTGCTCCGAGCAGGCAAGTGGCGACAGCGAAGAGAAGCTTTGCTGACGGTCGTTGCAGACTACCCGAGCTTGGAGCGATGCTGCCAAGCAGTACCGTCCGACTAAGGTGTCTAGCGGGAGGAAACAGATGGGAGGGCCAGAGGAAGCAGAGGGGAGGGCCAGAGGAAGCAGAGGGGAGGGCCAGAGGAAGCAGAGGGGAGGGCCAGAGGAAGAAGAGGGGAGGGGCAGAGGAAGCAGAGGGGAGGGGCAGAGGAAGCAGAGGGGAGGGGCAGAGGAAGCAGAGGGAGGGGCAGAGGAAGCAGAGGGGAGGGGCAGAGGAAGCAGGTGACTTGCTGCCAGGTGAGGAGGAGCATGGTCTCGCTCCCCAACGTGTTGTCTATCGACTCGGGGCTAGAGACGCCTTACGCGCCTGGGGCTGAGCTCTACAGAGGGCGGAGGCAAGAAGCCGAGGAGGGAGCGGAGGATGGGTCGGGGAGCGAGTGGCTCCCGCTCAAGATCTCTTTGCGCTTCGACGCAGAGGAAGGACGCTATCGCGTGACGAGGGGGGAAGGAGGGAAGGAGGGGGGGCAGGAGGGGGGTGGGGTCTACGAGCTGGTGGGGGTGGTGTCGTGTGTGTTTGCTGGAGGGGCGCGCGAGTGGCGGGACGGAGACGCGCAGGACGGGAGGCACCTGGTGACCCACGTGCGCGTCAGACCTGAAGACTCGCGAGGTATGCGGGGGGATGAGGTCGACCGGCCGACGTGGCTGCTTGTCAACGACTTCCTGCTGCGGCCGGTGGAGCAGCGTGAGATGGTGACATTCAAGCCCTGGAGGACCCCAGCTGTGCTCTACTTCGCCCGTGTTGACATCGACGAGGTCTGCCCAGGTGAACCGTACGTGAACCCGATCACCAAGAACGTGTACAAGAACGACCGATCCCTCGGCAACCCTTCCCTCGCCAACAAGACTCCTACCTTTGTTCCCCCGTCCACAGAAGAACTTGCGTCCTCCATGATCGTCGGGATCGACTCTGAATTTGTCGCGCTAACGGCGGAGGAGACTGAGCTTCGCATCGATGGGACCAACCTGGTCACCAGACCTTCGTGAGTCCCTCGGAGGGCAGGAAGGAGGACAGCGACTGACTTGACCTGCAGGAGAATGTCCTTGGGAAGGGTGTCAGTGGTGAGGTCGCTGGACAGCAAGGCGACAGTTGGGGTGAAGGGAGCGGAGCAGTGCCTGGCAGGCACTCCGATGATCGACGACTACATCAAGACTCCCGAGCAGATCATGGACTACCTCACTCGCTTCTCAGGCCTCCTCCCCGGCGACCTCGATCCTGCCACGTCACCGCATCACCTTATCCCTCTCAAGCGCGCCTACGTGAAGCTGCGCTACCTGGTGGACAAGGGATACATCTTCGTAGGGCACGGGCTCAACAACGACTTCCGTATCATCAACATATGGGTGCCGCCTGAGCAGGTCCCCTCCTCCTGCTCCGATCTCACCTTCTCCCTTCCCCTCTGTTAGTACCTCCTTGCTTGCTCCTCATCCATTTTCCTCCCCTCACCTGCATCTTCTTTGTGTTGGCAAACTCCTTGCCGTTTTATTCGCATTCTTTCTCGCTCTCGGCTTGTAACCACCTTGTAGATCATGGATACCGTCAACATTTATCATCTGCCAAATCGCCGAAAGATGTCTTTGAGATTTCTCGCCTACATCATCCTCAGTCAGAAGATTCAGTCTGAAGTCCATGACTCCATCGAGGATGCGAGAACAGCCCTCCTGCTCTACCAGTACGCAGCTCCCCTCCTCGCCCTCTCTTCTCTCCGTCTGCATCTCACCTGACCTCTTTTCTTCTTGTTCATCTCATGGATTTGTACAGGCACTACCTCAACTGCAAGGCGCAGGGGAGGTGGGAGGAAGAGCTTGAGAGGATCTACGAGGCTGGTCAGAAGTGTGGCTTTCAGGTTCCCGAAGGTCGCTAAGACTGGAAATGATTCGCTGTATTCTTTCACTTGTAAATTAGCTCCACACCCACTCCTCTCTGCTCTCCTCCCTCTCCCCTACGGCTCTTTCTTGGCTTCTCTCTGTCACGACTCCAGTGTCCTCCTGATCTTCTCCTCTATTCCTCGGTGGCCCTGACGTGCGGCAATGTCAGCAGCGCTCAAGCCGCTGCTGTTGCTGTCGACCGTCACCCCTCGATCAAGCATGAAGTCAACGAGCTCCTCGCATCCGCTGTATGCCGCGTAGGTGAGGGCCGAGTTCCCTTCCTTGGACTTGACGCTCATGTCCGCCCCGTGCTCGATGAGGTAGACTGCAGCTTCTCGCCTCCCCTTGAAGGCAGCCCACATCAGCGACGTGTACTTGTCCGCGTCACAGGCGTTCACGTCAGCTCGAGCTCGAAGCAGCTCGGCGATGCAGTCCAAGTTGCCGTGGAAGGAGGCGAGGATGAGAGGAGTCGCCTCGTCGGCATTCCTCGCGTGGATCTCAGCCCCGAACTCAACCACTAGTCTCATCAACCCGACATGCCCGAACTGAGCGGCGCAAAACAAGGACAGGTTCAGCCCCTGCTTGCTGCTCAAGGGGGCCAACTTGCTGCACAGCTCCTCGTTGCCATGCTTCACGCAGAGGGGGAGGGCTTGAGAGGCAAGCCTCTGCCTCTGCTCGCTGCTGTTGACGTTGGTGATAAGACTGAGGCACTTGCTGGTGTCGCCATCGCGGACGCTCCTCAAGAAAGCTTCTGCCTCCTCCTCCCTGCTGTGGGTGATCGACTCTGCCTTGCCGTCCTCCAGCTCGGGGCTGAGCTCAGGCCGTGAGGCCAAGCGGAAGATCCTCTTCTCCTCGGGCGTTCTTGACGTCTGTCCTATGCGCCTCTCCATGTCGAAGGGGTTGATCAACGGCCTCGTCCGTGCACTGCCCCAGCCGTCAGCGAGCAGGAGGGAAACGTGCAGCCAAACCTCATCGGCCGCGACGACATGCTCGAGCGCTCCTGCTCGATCAAGTGCTGGAACTCATCTGACGACTCTCAGCGCGAGCCCAGCAGGCGATGGCTCACCTAGACGATGCTTCTCTTCCGACTTCCTGCGGGGCCTCCGAGGTCTGCTCGGCGTCTTTGAGGTGGCTGAGGAGTCAAGAGGAGAGTGAAAGAGGAGGCGACCAGACTTGCTGTAACGCGGCGACACGTCGTTGCTCATCGCCAACTTGTGTTGAACCTCCTGGTTGATGAATTTCTGCACCTTTGACTCAGACATCTTGATCCGATTCAGCAAATAATTCTTCATGTTGGCGTGCCTCGCAATCTCCTTGGCATGTTGAGACTGACGGATACTGTTGCGAGCTACTTCCTGCTCCAAGCTTTTGATCTGCTTCTGAACGTTCGAGATGTTCAAAGAGTCTTTCCACTTGGAGACATCGTTTGCAAGTCTTGACATCATTGACAGGTAATATTCTCTCTCTGCCTTCAATATTTCAAGCTCTGCTGATGTCGCTTTTTCTTGCTCGCTTGAGTCTTCATGTCTGGGTGGAGCATCTCTATCTGCGTCTTGAGTTGTGCACTCGATGCTGTGTGGAGAATCTTGCTGCTGGACAGGAGGCCTGCAGTCCTCCACCTCTTGCACTTCCTCGGCCAGGAACTGAACGCTGCCGGGCCGTCAGGTCGAGAGGTCACCAACACAAGCCCACCTGTCTCCTCGGTTGAGGAGCTGGCAAGCGAAGAAGACAGGCCCTCGGATCTCGGAGATCTCCGCGTGAAGCATCCTCCCGTTGAGCGAGAAGCGAAGGCGCCTGGACGAGACTCACGACCAGCGCGCGGGCCCGCCTGCTTACCCTCTCTCTCTGTCTCTGCCCCACGTCAGGTGACATCCCAGCACGTCTTGAGCTCGCAGAGGAATCTTCTCGGCGTTGACGGCAGTGGCTCCGTTGAAGAAGCCGAGGGAGGTCAGGTACCAGGCCCTGCCACCGCACGAGTTCTGACACCTGCCACGCCCAGAGTGATGACAAGCGAAGGGGAGGACAGGAGCCACCAGTCTGTCTTCGCCTTCAAGTCATGCGCGATCACCCCGAACCTGGAGGCGAACTTGCGTCCTATAGACGTCAACTTGATCCTCCAGGTGACTGCGGGAGGCGTCAGAACCGTCTTGCATCTCGCACATCCTCCTTCACCAGAGCTCCCGGGATGAACGAGCTGAGCCGATCGAAGGGTAGGAACCTCGCTTCCAGCTTGAAAATCGAGGAGAGAGCCGTTGCGCTAGCAGGGATCAGATGGATCGGATGCCGCGCGATCGCCCTCACCTGCAGGTCGATTTCGTGCCGCAGCCCCCAACTCGCAGGTCTGCGTGCGTGTGAGAGAGACAAGTTGAGCTCCCGCCCTCACCTCGCGTGCCTGGGACTCACGCCCGGCCGCTGCCTTGACGGGGAGAGATGCGCAGATTGAGGAGAGCGAGGCGAACGAGGCGATGGATGGTAGTCTTTGCCTCCAGATTGAAGAGGAGCAGGGGCAAGCGCGCTCGGCAGCGAGGAGGACAAAAGGGTCTGAGAGTGACCATCTTTGCCTTGGTTGGGCCCCTTGTGTTGAAGCAAAGAAACTTTGAGAATAGACGGCATGGCAGAAGATTGAGAATAACTGACAACGAGGGAAACAGAGACTTCGTTCTCTCTCTCTCTCTCGGACTCTGACTCTTCTTTCTCTGCATTGCCCTCCTCTTGTCCTGCAACTGAAGTCGCGTCGTATCGCAAGATCTCAAGGAGATGGGGTATCATCATCCTGCCCAAGCGCTCTACCTCGGGGTTTGCGACATCTTCGACAGCGCTGCTATTGCTGCTGAAAATTTTGTGTTGAACCTCCTCAATGACGGTGAGTTGACTTGTGTCATCGTGACCCTGCATGGTATCACAAGACAAAAGCCGTGATTTGCTGTCCTCCTTTCCGCCGTCCATACAAAGCTCGATGACTCGCCGTGGAACGAAGACTTCGAATCCTCGTAAGGTTACTTCAACGTGCTTTCAGTATCGGTGCAGCTCCATTGCCGTGATGGTTAAAGCGTGTTCAAGCTCCGATGAACTTTCCTCCTTTGGGATATTGGTCGTCTGCGCACCCTGATCACTTGCTCCCCTCTTCCTCCTTTGTGCCCTCTCCCTCTCCCTCTCCCTCTCCCTCTCCCTCTCCCTCTCCCTCTCCCTCTCCCTCTCCCTCTCCCTCTCCCTCTCCCTCAGCCTCCTCTCTGTCTCTCACTCACGCGCGCTCTCTCCTCACCGCGTCTCGCCATTGCCGCCATATAGTAAACGGTTACGAGCAAGCAGGTAGGCCCCCCTGCCGGTGGTTGACAACGTTTCCTGCCCGGCACGCCACGGTTCCGGGCCGCGGCCGGGCCGGCGGCCCAGGGGCCACCCGGGGCCGCGCCGTCCGTGGCACTGTGGGTGAACATCGTGTCAGGCATCCGATAGATGTCTCAGTGATCCGGGAGTCTTCTGTGACTTTCGCCGGAATGGGCCCCCGCCCGGCGAAGCACCGCGCAGCCTGGCTGGCGACTCCGAGGCCGCCGGACCGTTGGCTGAGGACCGTCGGACTCCGGGAGCCAGGGCCCAGTACCTGGCCGGGCCCGGTACGTCAGTCGCGTCCCGTCAGTTGGCACTCGCTGAGGATCGGAGCCTCGGATCCGCTCCATTCAACTACCCCCACCCTCTTACATTCCAGTAAGTACCCCACCCTTGTTGCTGAGACTTCACCAGTAGTTCCCCACAATAGACCTACCATGACACAAGGGAAGAGGAGTAGCAGAGAAGAGGAGAGGAGAGGAGAGCGGAGCACAGCAGACAGAAGACAGGGAGACAGCAGACAGAAGACAGGAAGCATTCGAGGCGATAGAACTGGACACGAGAGACGATCAGATTGACACAATGCAGGTGAAGAGAAAGGAGAGGAGAGGAGAGGAGAGGAGAGGAGAGGAGAGGAGAGGAGAGGAGAGGAGAGGAGAGGAGGGGAGGGGAGGAAGGGGGGAGGGGAGGGGAGGGGAGAGGAGTGAAGGTTGCGAAGACAAAAGATAGAGAAGGGAAACGGAAGAAAGGGAGGAGGGAGGTAAATGCACATATCACTCTGTTCTTCTGCCTCACTTTGGAAGAAAGAGAAAGGTACTACTCAAGCAGATAGAGGGATCAATGTGCATTGACTGCTGGTTGGGAACCTGCATTCTACTTAGTGAGCCGCATGCTGTGACAGGAGGTGGAGTGGAGCTGCGATGGCTGCCAACATCTCTCACACCACCAGCGATGCTCGACAAGACACGGAGCAGTCAGGCACTGATCACGACAGAACACTTCTCCGCTCGCTTCAAGCGCAGATCAAGTTCTTGCAAAACCAGCATCGGACAGCAGAGGAGCAGCTAAATCGATCCATGCAGAGAGAGAGGGAGCTGCGAGAGCAAGCAGCAAATGCGGATATGATGGGATTGATTGCAAAACTAAGACGAGAAAACAAAGATCTCAGGGATCAAAATGAAGAGACGTCGCAGCGTTTAGAGGCTCTTAGAGGCTCTGAGAGCTCTTGCCTTGCTCTCCAGAATAGATTGGACGCCGCACAGGCAAGTTGAGAAGCGATGAGGGGAGGCAAGAGGAAGTGAAGGATGTCTCCAGGAAGAGATTGATCGCAACAGGCGATATTACCATGACGAAATGAAACGATTGCAAGGTCTGAATCTTTTCACTCAGCGGCTTCCAAGGCTAACTGTACCACATCTTGAAGGCGAAAACGAAGAGCTTAGAGAAGATTTGAAAAAGATCAGCGAATTCGAAAAAATAGCCGAGACCGCCAAGAATCGTGAGATAGAGATACGGATTTCATTTGAACGATTACAAGCAGAGCTGATAGAGAAGAACGACCAGGTGAGGAGATTGATGTTGAACATGTAGTCATGATTTGATCAGATCCGAGAGCTGGAAGTGGCTCAAAGTAGGACGAATGACATGATCACGAATATGGATGAAACTTCACGAGAAAGACAAAGGAAGGAATCCTCTCTTGAGGAGGCTATTGCTTGCATGGAGAAGAGACAGAAAGACTTGGAAACTGAGAATGCAAACTTCAAGGAACACAATGAAAAATTGATCGCTCAAGTCAGGGAACTTGAGGATTCACTCTTCAATTCTCAGAACCTCTCGACAAAGCTCACCCAGAGGTTAAAGACTTGTGAGAATGAAGTCATGTCCATTCAAGAAGAATCCAAGAGAACGCAAGACTCACTGAAGAAAGAAACCAACGACTTGCTTCACATGGTGCCGTCTTGTCTCGAGTTGCTTTGATGACGCGTGGGAGTTGCAGGTCGAAGAACTCAAGATGAAGCATTTCGAATCTCTCGAGGAGCACAAGCGGTCAGAAAGTGAATGGAGGATGACAAGAGACAAGGTGGTTGCTTCCCTTCCTCGCAGAAACCGATCACACCGTGCAGATGAGAGAAGAAGTGCGTGAGGCAGAAAGTGACAACAAGAAACTGAGAGATCAACTGCGAGGCGAACGGGACAAGTATGAACAGAGTATGAAAGATCATGCAGATGCAATGACAGAGCAGCTCGAGCAACGACAGAAGATTGAATCGGCTGCAACCAGGAGAGAAGAGGCTTTACATCGACGACTTCTCAGTGCAGAGAAAGAGCTTGACGCTCTCCGGTCTTCTTCAGTTCCTGACTCCAAGTTTCGAAGTCTGCAGCAGCAGCTCTCCCAGGAGAAGCAGGCCTTGATGAGTCAGATCGAAGCAGCTGTCACTAAGGCTGCCACGCTTGAAGGCGAGAAGCAATTGGAGCGCCGAGACTTTGAGAAGAGGATAGAAGCAAGCTCAGCTGAACTGGTTGAAGCCAAGAATTCGATCCGTCAGCTCCAGCAAGCGGTGCGTCTCTTATTCGCGCACATGCAAGACCAAGAGTGTGACGTGGTCTCGCATTCAGCTGCGACAGGCAGAGGCTACTGCAGAGGAAGCGAAGCGACTGCGACTGAGAACCCACGAAGAATTCCTGACCATGTGCAGCTCCATGGGCGAACACAAGCTCGCTCCTCAAGACGGCAGCGAGCACTTATCCAAGGTCCCCTCCCCTCGAGCGACATCCTCCATGACGCCTTTGCGAAGATCGGCGAAGCAGCCCTCAAGGTCATGGAGGACTGCATCTGGCCCTCCTCGAACAAGGCAGACGGTGAGCGTTGACCCTTGGAGGGGCTGCGACTGACTTGCACTCGAGCAGCCTCATCGTACGATGGCACAAGGAACAAGACTGCATTGGGGATCATTGTGAATGGAAACGCGGCAAGCAGCTCGCTGCCTCTCGAGTCAGGGAGTTTGACTTGTAGTGCGGCTCTTGCAGGTGGCTGAAGTGATTGAGGGAAGCCCTGCTTCAGCAAGCGGCAAAGTTTCGAGAGGAGATGTAATCTTGATGGTGGATGGAAAGAACGTGTCCTCGCAGACGGTCTTGCAAGCCTTGTCTGAGAGCGACGAGGTTGGAGAGCTTGTTTCAATTCACCTCCACAAGGTTTTGACCAACGAGGTGCGAATTTTACCCTGTGCCGCTTGCCTGCCTTAGAGTCTCCTGCCAGGTTGTCGAGCTGGAGATTCCGAGGGTCGATGTGGGGTCTCTCAGATCCAAGCACGACATATTCGAACGCGTCAAGCGGCTTTCACGACAGGTGTGAGGGGAGGAGGGGGATGGGGGCACTGCGATGATCCTGTCTAGTTCATGAATGCAGACGGAGACTTGGAACTAGAAAACATCTTCTTCTCGAAGCTCTTCTCCCTTATTGCTGTAATGGACTGTGATGCTTGACATTGCATGTTGAGTGCTTGACAGGAGATTGAACATGTGGATCTCAACTTACAAACAAGTCTAAGCGCAGAGATTGGGCAGCTCAGGGATCAGCTCAGCTCCTCTGCTTCCAAGTTTCGTCAGGCCATTGTCAACCTGGATCAGGCGCATCAGGAGGTGAAAGCACATGAAGCAAGCCCTTGCACTTGACTAAAAGGTTGTAGCTGCACAAAGTGCATCGCACAACCTCGCCAGGGAGAGCCGATGTAAGAGAGATCAAGGCGGGCTCGGGCTCGGGCTTGAGTGAAGACCACAAGGTAGCACAGGGCGCCCACGCATTGCCTGACTCACGTTGGTCAAACAGGGAGCCCATGAGCATCTCCTCAAGCTCCAAGTGAGACTCCAACTTCCCTGCTGCGACTGACGCACGGGAAACACTCAAGGAGGAACTGAAGGCCACCAAGTTACTGCTGAGAGACAAAGAGGACAAGGAGCAGCGAGCGCAGGAGAAGGTCATGTCGATGGAGCATCGCTGCTCTACCCTCGAGAGAGGCCAACGAGAATTCCGACAGACAGTGAACGACCTGGAGGAGCAGGTGGGAAACAATGTCTGCTCCTCGGATGACTGAGCCTGCAGCTTGCCGAGACGATGGCTGAGTTGTTCGAGCATCCGTTCGTGGTGGAGCTCAAGCTAAATGTAGAGCATTCCTCCAGCGCGATCGAGTCAGACTCGCGGTGAGGTCAAAGGCTGAGGTGCGGGCAATGATTGACTCGGCAGGAACGTGCTCGCGTCAAAACTCCTTCACGGCTTGTCCGTCGCTCTGCACACGCCCGAAGAAGCGATCGAAGTGCTCTGTCATGTTGGCACAGAAGGAGCCACCTGCGTCAAATTTGGTAGCGTGCTGCCTGACCATGGAGACACCAAGACTTCCTTCCGAACAGGAAAGATGCTGGCGACGGAGCTCGTAGATCAAGTGAGTGGTGGTGGATGTTTGTTGCCAACAGTGACCAGTTTGTAGTGTTCAAATCAAGACAGCAAACTGAAGAAAGGCATCTGTGGAAGACTGATCAAATCTGCTATTTTGCATGGTCCGATCAGTGACCTGACGGCAACAGCTTTCCATAAATCACTCTCAGAAGCAAGCGCTGGCGGCAGAAAGTTTGAGATTGAATGTCAAAGGCTGAAGACGCAACTCAAAGAAGTGGAGGAGAGAAAGGTGCGATGACAAGCCGAGATGCTGCGGGTCTGATGTCTCCCTAGGAAATGCTACAACGTGAACGACAAGCTCTCCGTGAAAGCAACTCAGCGATCGCTGCTAAAGCGGCCGAGGTGAGTGAAGAGAAATAGTTCGCCAGTTGAGCGCGAGCTGACTCCCAGAGTAGGAGGCGAAGGCGAGAGCCAAGACGGAGACTGAGGGAGCGTACAAGAAGATCATAACAGAGATAGAGAGAAGACACGAAGAGGAGATAGAGCATCAGAAGCTGCTGAAAGCGGAGCATCTTCAGCGATTGAAGTCTGAGTTGCAAGAGGTTGTCACAGTCAAAGATGAACAGATAGCTCGCATTCAAGAGCAGATGAGCGGCCTCGAGGCATCTGCTTGTTCACAGCCCCTTGACTTGTCTGACTGTCAGCAGGGGATGGTAACGAGGTTGCAAGCTGACAAGGGCAAGGCATTCGAACAGACGCGGGTGCATCAGGAGGCCTATGACAAGCTCAAGTTCGTCGCTGCTCAGATCAGAGAGCTCGTGGAACCTGAACTCCGTGCTTGTCTGAGCACCCTCAACAACCTTGAAAGCGAGGTTGGCTTCCTGCATGCCTACCAGGTTCTCCTCTCTCCCCCGTCCGCCTGTCAACTTGCGGCGCAGGTGCGAGCCATTTCGATTGCTGAGAGCATGAGCGGTATGGACCCCTCCTCTTTCAGCCGTGATGCAGAAGATGCCTCCAAGAGCCGTAAGATGGTACAGAAGGACATCGATGCGCTCAGGTCTCAGCTGGAGGGGCTGGCAGGTGAAGTCGCTGTTGCAGTGCCCTATCCCATGACTCCCCCCAGATTTGACTGCCAAGGAAAGCGAACTCGGGCAGACGTTGCACAGCGCGAGCTTGACGAGGCGGCAGGTTAAGAGAAAGGGAACAGAATGTCAGTGCCCTCACACCCTCCATCAGATCGGGTTCTCCACTTTGGAAAGCTCTTACGACATCACACATGTCAATCAGACGTATGGCAGGCCTGTTGAGGAGCAAAGCTTCCAGGTAAGCCCGGCCGTGAGGGAGAAGACTTCATCTTAGCTGCACATGGACATGCAGTCAAGAAGTTTCATTGAAACAAACTACATGTGTAATGAAGGCAAACTACATCTACAGTCAACGCAAACCCTCAAAGCGAATTCTTTGTTCTCTAAACAAGTGCATAATACGCTTACTGGCAAGTAAAATACACAACGATTTCTCCCTCCTCCCTCCTCAACTTTGCCATTCCGGTCGCGCGCTGACCTTCTGAGACACGGGTAGTTCTTTGAACCATGGTGGCCTTCCGGGGATAGATTTCTTCTGGGGTTTCGGTTTCGAGTCCTTGGCGATAACAGGAAACTGAGAAACGTTCTTGAGATACCTGACTTGCATTGCCTGATCATGCTTCATTGTCTTCTGGTCGAATGTGGCAGATTTGACTCCTTCAAGTCGCTTCGCGAACGCCATGTTCTCCTTTGCAATTTCTTCCGCCCTTCTCCTCCTGTTGATTTCTTGTGAAGACGCTTTTTTCTCCCTAAGGGAGTAAGGAGGAGGAACCGAAGGTGAGTCTGCAATCTTCTGCAGCTTTGCTAACAGCCTGGCGTTGCCCTTCGCTCGCTCCTCCTCTGCCGCTTCCTTCGCCCTCCCTCTCAAGCCTCCCATCATTTTCACCTGCGCTCTCACCTACCCCACCAACAAAATCTCAGTTGTGAATACCCCTTCTTCTCTATACCCCACCCCTCAATCTACTTCCATTCTTCTACATGTCTCCCCTCCCTATTCAAAAACGTTTGGACCCCTACCCCTTCTTTTATCCACAACAGTCCGTACCACCCCTTCGAGTCCGTTTGCCGTTGGAAGCTGCTTAGCTGAAAGGCTTGGAGGCGCCCCGCTTCCCGAGGGCGGCTGCCCTTTCTCCGTCCGCGGACGCCCGCTTTGTGGCGGCAGCGGACGTCTCGACTGACAGTGGTCAGTCGGCTGCCTCCGGGTATCGCGTCTAAGGGATTTTATTCCTCCTGCATGCTCCTGCTGCTTGTTGCTTGATTGCTTGGCCCTTCGGCTGCTTGTCTGCGCGGCTTCGCGCTTGGGCTGGCGATGCCGCGTCTGGGTGCCAGCAGTGCTGGTTCTTTTCGGGCTTGTGTTTTGTGTGTGTTTGTGCAGCTTCTCGCTGTGCGCTGTGTGCCAGGAGGTTCAGCTTGTTCCTGCTTTGTTTTGCTTGAGGCACTTTTTATCTTCTGCCAGTAAATCCATTAGTACTGAGGATGCGGCGTTTGGTCGGCGCTTCTCGCTGTGGACTGTGTACCTGCCGGTTCAGCTTGTTCCTGCTTTGTTTTGCTTGAGGCACTTTTTACCTTCTGCCCCTATACCTTCGTGCCTGATGACGGCCCTGCTGCTGAGGTCTTGGCTCGCAAACGTGCCGCCACCTATCAGCGCCTCACTATGCAGCTGACGCTGGAGGCGCTCTTGTCTGGTGCGAGGCGCATGACGCCCTTGCGGGCGCAAGCACTTCTCGAGCCAGAGGACAGCTCCTCCTCGGACTTTGTCGAGTCGCCCGAGGAGGAGTCTTCGCCGGGGGTCTCCGACTCCGATGGGGGACACCCTTCGAGTGGCGCCGACGATCGGCGCGGAGCTGGCGAGGCGTCTCCGTCCCTCACTGTGACGTCGGGTGCCTCCGGAGAGCTCGACACCACTGGGGTGCTTGCTGCTGGTCCGAGCTCGCCTGCTTCCTCGGGAGTCCCGGGCCGGCATCGGTCGGGTCACGCCGGTCCTTGGGCATTCCTGCGGCGGCTACCGCTGACTCGGCTATACTGAGCTCCGGCATCTACAGGGCTGAATCTTTCGCTGATCTTCTTGCTGAAGCACTACCGTGTTCCTGTGTCCAGCCTCCCTCCGTCCGCTGCCCGGGCCAGGCGGACCCCCCGGGCCGGGCAACGCCGGCTCCTTGTCGGCGGCTGCCCTTTCTCCGTCCGCGGCCGCCCGCTTTGTGGCGGCAGCGGACGTCTCGACTGACAGTGGTCAGTCGGCTGCCTCCGGGTATCGCGTCTAAGGGATTTTCTTCCTCCTGCATGCTCCTGCTGCTTGTTGCTGGATTGCTTGGCCCTTCGGCTGCTTGTCTGCGCGGCTTCGCGCTTGGGCTGGCGATGCCGCGTCTGGGTGCCAGCAGTGCTGGTTCTTTTCGGGCTTGTGTTTTGTGTGTGTTTGTGCAGCTTCTCGCTGTGCGCTGTGTGCCAGGAGGTTTAGCTTGTTCCTGCTTTGTTTTGCTTGAGGCACTTTTTATCTTCTGCCAGTAAATCCATTAGTACTGAGGATGCGGCGTTTGGTCGGCGCTTCTCGCTGTGGACTGTGTACCTGCCGGTTCAGCTTGTTCCTGCTTTGTTTTGCTTGAGGCACTTTTTACCTTCTGGTACTCCTGTAGAGCCCCTACCGTAGAATTTCTGTTGCGGCCTGCCGTCTAAACCACTCCGGGAACCTTTCCTCTTT